ACTGTAACTCCCTCTTCACCGGCTTACCTCACCACAGGCTATCCCCGCTTCAGTCTATCCTGAATACTGCGGCCAGACTCATCCACCTTACTAACCGCTCCGTGTCCGCCACCCCCCCTCTGCCAATCCCTCCACTGGCTTCCGATTGCCCAACGGATAAAATTCAAAATGCTAACACTGACATACAAAGCTGTCCATAACACTGCCCCAAACTACATCACCAACCTGATATCCAAATACCACCCTAAACGTACTCTCCGCTCCTCACAAGACCTCCTTCTCTCTAGTTCCCTGGTCTTCTCCTCCCAACCCCGTCTCCAGGACTTCTCTAGGGCTTCCTCCATCCTCTGGAACTCCCTACCCCAATCCATCAGACTATAACCTACTCTCCTCTCCTTTAGGCGCACCCTGAAAACCCACCTCTTCAGGGAAGCCTACCCCGCCCTCAGCTAATTGCCGATCACCTCCTACCACTCCATCCCCCACAGCTATTCCTCCCGTACCACTATCCCCTCCCTCCTAGATTGTAAGCTCCAAGGAGCAGGGCCCTCAAACCCCTCGTGTATCGCGTTGTATTGTTATTGTACCGTCTCGTGTATTGTCTCCCATTGTATTGTACAGCGCTGAGCGAACTGTTGGCGCTATACAAATACTGTATAATAATAATTACCAACATTAAATATTAAGGAAATAAAGTAAGAAGAAGAGCCTTTTTCCTATTTTTCTTTTTTTTTCCTTTTAGCAGCTTAGTAGATGCCGCCTACTTATTCTTATGTTGTAGTGCAGTGTTAATTTTAACCTCAAATTCGATTTAGTTTTAGTCATAGTCTTTTTACTAAAATGCCATTTTAGTTTTAGTCGCATTTTATTCATATGAATTGTTTAGTTTTAAGTCGTTTTTTTTAGTCAACTAAAATAGTGTTAATTTAGTCGATGAAAATATTTTCGTTGACAAAATTAACACTGGTCCTGATGTCACAAGGTCAAAGCAGGATCCGTAGCCCTGCATTAGGCGTGATAATGCTGAGGGTCAGTACACCACCTGAGCGTAGGGGTGCGCCGTCTGCTGGGGGAATAGGGAGGATCGAATCAGGTAACTAAAACTGTTTCTCCTCTCCTGAGCTATTAACCATTTAACTATGAGTGCAGCCCCCCCTGCAAGGGATCAATTTGAATTTTCTTTAATGTCTATATGGGATTTTCCAGACCATGTTGGCTGGCCACTCTCTGCAAAAACATGCAAAATGCTGTTGTGGTGTCAGCAACTTCGCCATCACTGCTTATCTCCTTCCCCCTCCGCTCTCTATTCACACGAACCAAAAAATTTGACTGAGCTGATTGTCACTGTTCATAGAACACATGGGCTTCACAGCCTCAACTGAAGGGGATCTGGTAATGTCTGCCTGGCCAAATTCTCTCCTGTGTATGTGGGCACTCTTACCATTTTAGTGTCTTTTTTTTTTTTTTTTGTACATTGCTTTGCAGCTTGATTAGTGTATGTCTCCTAAAATCTGCATTTTTTTTAGCAGAGGAGCCAACAGAATGTTATCTGTGTTGTAGAGTTTTCTGCAAATCTGTGATTTCAGCCTTATTCTTTTCTATTATATTCCAGGAGTTTAAGAAACCAGAGGATGCCCGATGTGTGTATAAGTTACGGGGGCACATAACACCTGTACGAACAGTAGCTTTCAGCCCTGATGGTCTAGCTCTTGTGTCTGGTGGACTTGGTGGTTTAATGAATATTTGGTCTTTAAGGGTGAGAACATATGTTTTAATATCTGAAACCAATGGCTCGCTCATTCACATTGTATACTGTGCATTTGGAACATGCCATTTCTGAAATCTTTGCAGCTCACTTTTACTATGTGCACTACTTGATGTGTTAATAATGTCCTTTTTACTTCCTCTTTGGTTTAGGATGGCTGTGTCTTGCAGTCTGTCGTTACTGGTTCTGGAGCTGTTACTACCACCGTTTGGATTCCTGATGTTGGAGTTGCTGCTTGTTCAAACCGCTCAAAGGTAACCTGTTTCTCTGTTTTCATATGGGTAACAATCAACTGCACAGTTTCCTAATGTGTCATATGTGGATTATTGTTGTTTTTTGTTACTTTTGACTAAATTCACACCAACGATTTAGGCCGGTTGGCCGGCTGACCAATTGAACTTGGTATTGAGTTATTTGCTTTCAGGTCATTAGAGGACAAGGGGGCACACTTTGTGTCTGCAGGAAAAAAGATTTCACTTCCACATATATGGAAAGGCTTAGGAATAGACCCACTCAGAAACTAGTTTTGGCCAACTCAGTAGATTGTTGTAAAAAAAAAAAAAAAAAGAGCTGGATGCATTTCTAAATGCACAAAATATAACTGGATGCTAACATTTATAGGTAATAACGCCAGGGCTATAAAATTGCCTCCTGGAGGATTAGGAAGGAATTTGGATCATGTTTTCTTGGGTTTTTTGCCTTCCTCTGGATCAACTGTAGATATAGGATTGTGTATATGGAGGTTTTCTGGTTTTTGTGTTTTTTCTATTGGCTGACCTGGATGGATTTTTGTCTTTTTTTTTTTTTTTTTTTTTTTTTTTTTTTTTTTTTTTTTTTTTTTTATTTTTTCAAACTAACTGACTTTGTAACTATTTGTTCTGTAAATAAATGGTTGTAGTCTTATTTGACAATTCACACATACTGGTTTATTTATCATATTTATACAGGATGTTCTAGTGGTGAACTGCACCCCCGAGTGGATATCCTCCAATCACGTCTTGGCAACTTGCAGGACTGCACTAAAGCAACAAGGCATAGTGGGCCTTAACATGGCACCTTGCATGCAGACATTCCTAGAGCGCCTTCCTGTCATGCTCCAGGAGCAATATGCATATGAAAAGGTATTTACAATAATTACATAATTGTACTGTTTAGGGTAATCTTCTGAGATCTATTTTGTCATATATAAATATATATATAGAATAGTTAGTTTTTTTCTTTTTGTTTTTTTTTTTTTTTATAGCTTGGCATTCCCTGTGAAGATGTGTAGTTGGTGACTAAAAAGTTATCAATCTCTCACCCTATTAGTTGTGTGACCATGTACTCATGCAACAGAGTGCCTAGCCAATTCTATTCTGTATAATTAAGTTTTCTTGTTTTATCTATTACAAGGCACATTAAACTAGTCCAAGTCATCCTTTTTTTTTCTGCCAAACTCCTATTGTAATGCATCTTATTCAATTTATACACATACTTTAAATATTGCTGTAGTTTAAACTTGTAATGGTCAGAGAGTGACATTTTAGCCCTGAACATCTAACTTGCCTACAGTATTCAGTCCATTTAAGGGCGAAGGCAACTTCCAGTTAAGGAAAACGACAAATATACTTCTTAAAATCCACAGCAGTATATTTTATATTGTGAGTGTGTTTTCGTATTCCTTTGTTGACAATCATCTGTTTTATTTCAGCCCTATGTTGTGTGTGGAGATCAGTTAGTACACAGCCCATATATGCAGTGCCTTGCATCACTGGCTGTGGGACTAAACCTTGAGCAGCTTCTGTGCAATCCACCCATCCCTCCTCACCATCGCTTAGCTCCACCAGAACCTTCTTCCTGGAACCATGCTGAGTGGGCCTGGCTAGAGTGTTTCTCTACTACCATCAAAGCTGCAGAGGCCTTGGGTAGAGGTGCCCTTTTCCCAGCATCCTTCAGTGTTCCTGACCTGGAGCCAGTCCCTGAGGAAGAGCTAAGACTTTTAATGGTAGGAGCCAAACTTGTTTTCTGCATGACCAGTAAAGTTCGGTTTCTATTCCAGTAAGAAATGTATTTTATCCTTATTTTGAATCGTGATTTTATTAAAGGTGAACATAATACCAGTTTACTAATTTGAATTTAGTATTACACACACACAGTAATATATAAAGTTGTTTAGACCACCTAAAGGTGGAACTGCGGATTTCTACTTCAATTTTGCAAAAGCGTTTGACACAGTTCCCCACACATGGCTTATGTGTAGGTTGAAGTCTACAAGCCTAGAAAATTCAGTTTGTAAATGGATAGGAAACTGGTTAAAGACTGTATTTGGGGAGTAGTGATTAATGATTCATACTCTGAATGGTCTCAGGTTATTAGTTGTGTACTTCAGGGTTCAGTTTTTACTTTTTAACCAATTTCTTAATGATATGGAGTTTGGGATTAAAAGTATCATTTCAGTGTTAGCAGATGACACCAAGCTATGCAGTGGAAATAACTTCCTTACAGGATACCTCCAATTTACAAGCCCACCTCAATGCACTGTTTCATTGGGCAACTGTGTGGCAAATGAGGTTTAATGTAAATAAATATAAAGGTATGCACTTCGTGGTTAAACACATGCACAAATCTTACATACTAGCAGGAGAACAGCTGGGGGAGTCATTGGCGGAGAAGGATCTGGGTGTTCTGGTAGACCATAGACTTAATCACATACAATGGCAAGCTGCAGTTTCCAAAGCTGGCAAGATACTTTCTTATATTACCTGTTCACAAAAAATACTGGAGAACTGGAGGACGTGCAGAGAAGGGCAGCCAAACTGATAAGTGGCATGGAGGAACTTGGCTTTGAGGAAAGATTAGCTGAACTGAAATGTCTCTTGAGAAGAGGTGATAAGGGGGGGATACGATCAATATTTATAAATATATAGGTGGTCCATATAGTGAACTTGGTGTAGACTTATTCATTTTCAGGTCATTACAGAGGACAGGGGGCACTGTTTACATCTAGAGGAAAAGAGATTTCACCTTCACATATGGAAAGGCTTCTTCATAATGAAAGCTGTGAAAATTTTAATAGACTCGAACTAGTAATGATCAGTTCAGTAGATTATTTGTTTAAAATAAAAAACGTTGGAAGCATTTCTAAATCCACACAATATAACCAAATTAACATTTATTGGTAGCAGGGGTAGTGGATTCAGGGAATATCCGATTGCCTTCTTGGAGATCAGGAAGGATTTTTTTTTCTCCCATTGGAGCAAATTGGCTCATGTTTTATTGGAGTTTAATTTGCCTCCCTGTGGACCAACTGTTGGTTATAGGATGGTGTACATGTAGATTTCTTTTCTATCTTGTTGAAGTCGATTCTTTTTTTTAACCTGACTTTGTAATTCTTTGTTCCCCTTTCTATTAGCAGACAATAAGAAAAAATAATCATATCTGTATATTCTTTTACAAACAGGATAACAGCAAATGGATGAATGGGACAGATGAACAAATTATGGCCTGGGCCACCTCCAGACCAGAGGTGTGTTTTTTATATGTGGTTTTTTTTTAAAAAATTTTTTAATTCTATATTTGTCAATGACAATAATATGGAGTACTCCGGTATTAAGCATATCAAGTAGCATTGTTTCTGCAAATCTTTTTTCTGTCAAAGTGTGTTCCGGAGCTGTGCTCACAGTGTTAGACCTAACTGGTAAATGGTGAGAGATGTGTTGCCAGTGGGGAAGAAAAATAAGTCCCCACTAAATTTTTCAGTTTAAATTGTGCACAGTAAAGGGGAAATAAAGGAATGAAAAGGAAGAACAGAGAGGGAACAGGGAGGGTTGGGAGGAGGGAAAGTAAAAGAGAGGTAGGGAGGAAGGGTAAGTAAAGAGCAAATATAATCCCTGGTGACACTGCCTAGGAAGCATTAGCTCCAAGTGGTTCTTTATATTTAAATTGGTTCCAATAGAACCATGTTTTATGAAAACAGGCCTCCTGTTGTCTAACCAAGGGGTCGGGGGATTTCTAGTTGGTTGGAATACAGGATCTAGTCACATTGAGATGGTGTTCCACGAGGAAAGGGGGCAAGATGTAAAAGACATGCTTTGGGATCATCTGCAAGGGAGAGACCCATCAGCTCAGAAAACAAATCGCATATTGTCTGCCAGAAAGGACCGATCTGTGATCAAAACCAGAATATGTGGAGCAGTATGTCCCTAGAGTTTTCAAATCTTTCAGCAAGTGAAATTGAGATCTGGAAACATTTTATGCAGTCTCATAGGGACTATACCATCTGGTGAGTAATTTATACCCCAGATTCCTGAAGCTTAGAAGAGACTGAAGATTTGTGAGCAAAGTGTAGAATGTAGTCCTGTTGCTCCATGTTTATATGTTTTAACAAATAGTTTCTTCAAGGAGTTACCCTCAAACCGAAGTCTAATGTGTCCTACCTGTGTTCATGTAGCTTATTCATAAGTATCATCAATGGGAAACTGGATATCAAGCCATGATTCACAAAACCCATATCCTCCCAATCAGCTGTTTTATTTCATTGGTTATCCAGTGCTAGAATAAAGTTCACAACTGGCACTAGTTCAGCCTTCATTGCTCCAGTTTTTTTGTACATCATTACTTGTTGTTTTTCCTAAATGCTCAACTTCTGTAAATGTAGACATAGACATTAACGTAGTTTGCACAGACATCCGTGTGCCTGACCTGTGTTTTTTTTAATCTATTGCCGCCTCTGTATAATGAATAATTTTTAATTGTTACTCTGCAGGACTGGCATCTGGGAGGCAAATGTGATGTGTACCTGTGGGGAGCTGGGCGCCATGGACAACTGGCAGAAGCTGGCAGGAATGTGATGATTCCATCAGCAGCCACATCCTTCTCCCAGGCACAGCAGGTATTGCAGTAGCAGAAAAAAAATACACACTATTCATATAGAGATGCATATTGTGGAACGTTTAAATGATTTTTTTTTTTGCTCCTTCTGCAGTTAACTTGCAGTTCTTTTACAAACGTGTGTGCTTTTAACTGTACGTGTATTCACACAGGTTCCCCTCCCTCTGCTTTTGTATGTGTTTTATAAAGAAATTGCATTGTGTACCCTTCTTAAAGCATTTTAGGTAAATGTTATTACCTTCAATAACAATCACTGTGCTGTAACTTAAATAGCATGTCATTTTGATCTTCTCTTGGAATGTTTTCTACTATTTTTAGGTAATCTGCGGCCAAAATTGTACCTTCGTTATTCAAGCTAATGGTACTGTTCTTGCCTGTGGAGAGGGGAGCTACGGTCGCCTTGGGCAAGGCAATTCAGATGACCTTCATGTACTGACTGTCATCTCCGCATTGCAGGGTATGATAGTAGTTCCAATTTGCAGTGAAGCCTAATCTCTGATGGATTACCTAGTGTGCCCATAGTTTTTTTTTTTTTTTTTTTGTTTTTTTACATGCAGACATAGACTTCATCATACTGGCATTGATCATAAAATTTAGGTTTTGATTAAACTTAATTTGTTTCTTTTGTTTCTGTGTAAACATTGTTTAGCCTTGAACGATTAATTTTAAGGGAAACTACAGACTTTTACTTGTTTTGGATAGAGTGGGGATGTGTTAAATCCTTTGTCATGTTTTGGATGACATCTGTCATCTGGGATGTCCCTTCACTCCTGTGTCTTTGGGACAAGTACTGATGAAAATATCCCTGACGGGGACAGCATTAAAAGCCAGACCAATGTTCTAACCATTTCAATATTTGTCCTAAGAATATCAAGGGTTTTTCTTTCTTTCTAAATAAAATGCATCCTAAGGCAAAATTAGAACAGAACACCCAAAGCAGAAAATGATATGCAGCCAAATTACAAAGAAATCCAAACAAAACACCTGATTCATGTTTACATTTTATTGTGCAACAATTAAAATTATTCTCAAACCAGGCTTCTTCTTAATAACAGGATTTGTGGTGACACAGCTTGTGACGTCTTGTGGCTCAGATGGACACTCCATGGCACTGACGGAGAGTGGAGAGGTGTTCAGCTGGGGAGATGGAGATTATGGCAAATTGGGACATGGAAATAGTGACCGTCAGCGGCGACCCAGACAGATTGAGGCATTACAAGGAGAAGAAGTGGTGCAGGTACACACAGTTTATTTTGTACTAATGATGTATACAGAACTTTTTACTTCCCCTTTCTCTGATTCTTCTTAGTTGAATTAAACTTCTCTTCCTGATAATGTATTGGATATTAATGACTTATTTCTAGCAGTTTCTTTAATAATATTAGTGTGACTACTCAGGTCCTTGTCTTTCCCAGGTTCATGCTAAAATGTGTGGAGACCTGGGCATTATGGCTGTTGCCAACCTCAATAACTTTTTATCTTAATTGTACAGTACAGGCAGAATATTCATATATCATGGGTTATAAGCATGTACCTTCAGGTTATTGGACACTGGAAAAGCTTTAGAGGACACGTCTTATTGGCGCCTCCTCTATAACCCTACCCCTCTCCATGATTCCTCAGTTTTGTGCTAGTGTCTGAAGGTAATGGACTTTTTCTCCATCATGGAGAAAATCACCTTTAGCTTAACTAGTTTTTTCTTTTTCTTCGGATACTTCAATCAACCCCTCACTATCTTCTAATGCCAACATAGACCCCATACTGTGGGAAGGCCTGTAATGGTGCTTCGGGGACTGGATCCTGCATGGGTCCTCACCTTGGCACTTGTTGCAACCTTTTGAGTCAGCCACAGGGTGCTGTGCAGGGCCAGGGTCCATCACTATGGAACCTAGTCCCTGAAGACCCCTTTGGGGTTTGCTCACCATGACAGGCGAAGCCTGGACTTTATTTACAGTCCAGCGTTATGAACAGGTAAGACAGGGTCACCCTGTGTCTGACTGAGGAATTTTGCCTTACCTGTAAATTCAATATCTTGGAGTACAGGACACAGATCACCCTCCCTTCCATTCCTTGGTTTACTCTTCATTGCTTGCTACAAAACTGAGGACTCATGGAGTGGGGTAGGGTTATATGGGAAGTGCCCAGGGGGTGTGCCCTGTAAAGTTTTGCCAGTGCCCAAATGCCTGAAACACGCCTGTAACCCATGATGTACGACTACTCAGCTTGTATCCTGTACTGTACTCCAGGATATAGAATTTTCAGGTCAAAATTCCTCTTTTCTTCAGTGGCTCCTCTTTGCGGGTTCATTGGTTCCTTTACAACATACAGGCAATGGAACTGGTGAAATTGTGTGACGTTAGACAGCAGCAAAGGACACTTGTCATAGACATTTCCTCTCATAATAGTGACAATGCTTGTGATCCTGCTACTGTGACTCTAAACAAGTTGATTGGGCCTCTTGAGCATAACAGTAGCAAGGCATTAACTGTGGGTGTAGACATGAGCTATTGTGTGACCACTCTTGAAGCCCTAGGCACTCCTCACACCTTAACACAAGTCATTGTCTCTTTACTCATGTTATGGGCATGCATTAGCTGTTCTAGATCAAAGTACAGACATATAAAACCTAAAATATACATTAACAGATGTTACAATGCTACCAAAACACATTTCTTTCTGAATCAAATTCCAGATGTCTTGTGGCTTCAAACACTCTGCAGTAGTGACAGCTGATGGAAAGCTTTTTACTTTTGGCAATGGAGATTACGGTCGGCTGGGATTGGGAAACACATCCAACAAGAAATTGCCAGAACGTGTGACAGCGCTCGAAGGATTTCATATTGGTCAGGTAATATGAATACATTACCTGTCTATGAATCTGTAACACTCTATACCAACAGTAGATGCTGCTATTATATTTTCTACCTCCTGTTCGCATGCTTGCAATTTGTATAAAGAGAAATGTTTGCTCTGTTCACAGCTTAAATATTTTGCTTTGTGCCAAGACATTAAACTAATTACATATTCTTACCAAGTAGTAAACATTTTAAACAAGCCACCACTCTCCTCTCTAGCTGCTTTCAATGTGAAGACATTCTTTCTCAAAGATCACAACAAAGAATCTAGCTCAGTGGATGGACCTGTTAGACCAGCTCTGTTTAAAGAAAGTTGAAGCCACCCACTGGAAATTTTTGGCTGAACAGCAGCTGTATCCATCAGGTGCAGCCATTATTCAGCAGTGGTACCTCGGCTTACGAATGCCTCGGTTAACGTAATTTTTGGTTTACTAATGAAAATCCATTGAAAATAATGCCTCGGTTTACGAATTTTTTACTAATTTTTTTCGCAATACGAAATGTGTCGGTGCTGATTTTTAAATGCAATTGCCGGATTTTTTTTTTTATTCATTATAGCTCACAAGATTAGCTGTCACTTTCCACAGAGTTACAGGAAACTGTTTGTTTCTTTTAAGACACTAAAAGGAAACATTGTTTTTTTTAACTTGGGGAAATAAACTAAAATAAAACTTTCTCTCTTTTAGCTGGGGGAAAGTGACAGCTAAGTTTCTGAGTTATAGTGAAGAAAAAAAACAAATCGGTAATTGCATTTAAAAACAAGCACCATAATGAATTAAAAAAACGGCCTGGGGTCCCCCCTCCCATCCATACCAAGTCTTTTGGGTCTGGTATGGATTTTGAGGGGAATTCCCACGCCAAAATGTAAAAAAAAAAAAAAATGGGGACATCATCTGAGTGACCCCGCCCCATGTGACATCATTGATATGCCCCTCACATATTTAAGAACTGTCAAACCACTGAATCAAGCAGACGGTGGGAGTGGAACCCTATTTTTTTTTTATTTTTTTTTTTAGGGTCGGTGGCAGCGGTGGGCATCGTGATCGTCACTGGATCTACTGCGGGGGACAGTCTTTTAGATTTTTCTTTTAATAAAGGACTTGTCAAAGACCATGTCCTGTCTCTTTTCACACTACACTTTGTGTTTTTGTGAATGAGTATCCTATACTCATTCACATGGTGGGGGGGGGGGATCTGGGGGCCTCCTTGTTAAAGGAGGCTTCCAGATTCCAATAAGCCCCCTGCCCGCAGACCCTCACAACCACAGCTCAGGGTTGTGGGGAAGAGGCCCTTGTCCTCATCAACATGGGGACAAGGTGCTTTAGGAGGGGGGAGCCCCCGCCCCAAAGCACCCCCCATGTCCCAAAGCACAAGCACCAAAGCATGTATGGTTCGGGGGGGGGGGGGGGGGGGGGGGGGGGTGACGCTCGCTTGTATACCCCCCCCTTTCCTGATCTGGTGTGGGAGTTCCCCTCAAAATCCATACCAGACCTGAAGGGCTTGGTATAGATGGGAGGGGGAACCCCACGTCTTTTTTTTAATTGCCTGGAATTCTTTTACATTCAGCTGTCAGTGGGGAAAATAATGCATAACTTAATAAAATAACTAATGCGGTATTTTAATAGCGTTTACTGCTTTTCTGAGCTACGGAACAGATTAATTGGTTTTCAGTGCATTCCTATGGGAAACGGTGTTTCAGTTTACAAATTTTTCGCAATACGAAAAGTCCTGCAGAACGAATTAAATTTGTAAACCAAGGTATTAATGTATTTTTATATAGCCAGTGAGGAAATTGTCCATCTGTGCTGTCTATTAGATGTTACTTGTTCAGCCCTCATACTGAGTGTATGGCTATCCTTAGGAACACCTACTGTTTGTTTACATTAGAGGGCTATCAGACTGCCAAGATCTGCTCTCATAGAATAACATGTATTTTAATGTATGTGTTCTACTTTACATTTCAATGACAGTAGCAGGTCCTCTATGTGCACTGAAGACTACTACCTTTTGTTGTTAGACTGCTGACTTGGTAACAGACATGGTTGATTTCTCTACTTGTTGATTAATGCATTTTAGTTTACTTGTAAGCAATCCTATATAAACATAAATTACCTTCCCAGTATTGAGAAATGTCTTTCTGTCTGTAGGTGGCCTGTGGATTAAATCACACACTAGCTGTGTCTGCTGATGGTTTATTAGTTTGGGCTTTTGGAGATGGAGATTATGGAAAACTTGGTTTAGGAAACTCTACTGCCAAATCTTCTCCACAGGTGACTGCAAAATTCTGTACACTGTTCTGTAGGTTTGGTTTTTTTTTTCTGTTTTTTTTTTTTGGTCTCCCTGTGTAGACTGCCATGATCAATGGTGTTCTAAACCAATGAAAGTCAAAATGAAATCCATTAGGATCAAATGTTTGCTTTATTTATTACACCATTGTTTGGCTATACTAAACGGTAATTTAAGAACAGTCAAACCCTAAACAAGTGGACTGGCTTTGAAATCCTGGTGTGCTTAGTGCAATTGCATAACTTTTCAAAGCCCATTGGATGAAAGGTGTACACATTAGTAGCATCAAATCTGTTTGTGTTGGGTAATTTCTGTGTTTTTTTTTTTTTTTTTTTAATTTGTAGAAAGTGGATATTCTGTGTGGCGTTGGCATCAAGAAGGTGGCTTGTGGAACACAGTTCTCAGTTGCATTGACTAAAGACGGTCATGTTTATACCTTTGGACAAGGTAGGTTGTGAAGCTTGCTATTTTTCTAAATAGTGGGGTTGATTTACTAAAAATGGAGAGTGCAAAATCTGGTGCAGCTGTTTATGGTAGCCAATCAGGTTCTAACTTCAGCTTGTTCATTTAAGCTTTGACAAACAAAATCTGGAAGCTACTTTCTATGCAGAGCTGCTCCAGATTTTGTACTCTCAAGTTTTAGTAAATCAACCCCAGTGTGTTGTAAATAGCAATCACCTTTCCTCTCATGCTTTTCTGTGATCTGTTAGTCTTATAATCACCTCACCCTGCCTTCCTTCTTCATGTTTCTGTTTACTGTGATGTGCACAATTTCATATCCCCTATTTAATACAATCCTTTCCTGTACTTATGTTGCCCTCCAGACCGCTTGATTGGCTTGCCTGAAGGTCGAGCTCGAAATCACAATCGTCCTCAGTTGGTTCCTGGCCTTTTGGGCATTTTCATTGAGGACATTGCAGTGGGAGCGGAACACACACTGGCTCTCTCCTCCTCTGGGGGGAAGTGTATGCATGGGGGAGTAACTCAGAGGGGCAGGTTGGTGTTCACATCTACACGCACTTGGTGAATTGGGTTTCTTTTGAATTGGCACCACCTTGAATGCACTTTGAACAAAAAAAAAAAGACCAAAGTACAAACACTGATTAGGCGACAACCTGAATGAATGGTAAAGTTGGGCAATAATGGAAACTTAAAGAAGAGTTCCTATATATATCCATGTATAGACCTAACTAATAATCAGAAATAAAGTGGTAATGCACAAAATGTCATACCTTCTATATATAAAAAAATATATATATACTGTATATATATATATATATATATATATATATATATATAGATATATATATATATAAAATAACAGATGTCAATTATAGTCATACATTTGGTTATGTCTAATTGCAGTTTACACATTTCGTTTTTTCCATATTTACGGAAAAGTGTGATGTATTTCCAGTAAACACATATTTTGAGTCATTATTGCAATTTTTATTGCTCTTCCATATTTTACGTTGTATCAAAATACAGGATCAAAACAATACTGTATCAAATACAGTGATTTGCAGATTGGTCACTAGAGGGAACTCTGTTTAAATGCCATCCCTCTGCTTCCCTGTTTGCTGCCTTTTATGATAAGATATTCTCCATACAGGTAGTGGATTGTTTTCATTCAATTGCCTGATTGGTAGATTTGCATTGTGGGAAAAAGCAGTAAAGCAAAGTATTGTGCAACACTGAAAAGCAGGACGTATAACCTGCATATGTAATGAGCAAGTATGGCGGTCCACACATTTATAATTACAAACTATTCATATAAACAAAATTTATAAAAATGTGCATTGATTAGCTTTTTACCATCAAGCTGATCTTTTATACATGCATTCCGGTGTATTATGTATGACGTAATCTTATGCATGGCTCAGTATAGTTGAAAAGAAAAGCTGCACAACGATGGTCTCTTCACAGGCAAACTTTAATCAACTGTCATGCGCATGGTCCCACCTCTAAGGCCACCCTCTGACATGTTGCACCCACTGGGCTCAATCTTAGACAGTCCTCTTTGAGTGGGCCCATCTGGTGAAACGTGTCAGAGGAGTGGTCCTGGGGGTAGGTCCATGTGCTGAAGCTTGTCAGCAGATACATTTTCTTGTGAAGACCTCATCGGCTCTTCTTTTTTTACTATACAGAGCCATGTGTGGGGAAGTAACTGACTTCAATCCAGCCCCTGATCCCAACATATGAGGGAAGTGCTTGAAGGGTGAGAGGTGTGCACTTTTCCTGCACAACTCTACAAACTGTAATCTTATGCAGTTTTGATTTAGCCGTGCCTTTTCTTTTAAAGCATAAATCCAGGCAAAAGTATAAAGTCAGATTTTCATTAATGTCCACCATATACATGTCCTTCCTTAGTGTTATAAATGCAAGCATTATCCATGTGAACAGTCAGCAACCTTCCCCTTGAAATCCTTGTAATGGCATTAATCCATCTGGTGCATGACTTCAGGGAAATCTGCTGAAGTTTTGTTTCCGTATACTCCTGTGGCCTATGATGAGCATAAGAATAAAGGATGACTAAACCCAATGGGAAAAATTGAATTCCTATCTTGTCCTTTGAGGGACACTCGGGTTATACGGCTGCCTAGAGGAGGATTGGACACTGGCAAACAAAATAAATCATAGACCAGTTCAGAAGTACTTTTTTGTACTCAATGTAAATTCCATTTCTTGGAGTCCATTGAGGGACCCTGGTCCCACCCCTCTGAGTTTATATTTATGGTTTTGATAATGCTTGTTACATTCTGAGGCATGCTGGGAAATATTGAGGCATACTCAGCAGAGGAGGGTTTATCCTGGGCTTGCCTAAGTTTTTTGTTTGCCAGTGTACAATCCTCCTGTAGGCAGCAGTAATACCTGGGTGTATCTGAGTTCCTCAGTGGAGGCTTCATTGGTTTTCTTATTCAAGGCTAGAACATTTTCAGCAAGTACAGAAAATACCTTTTGATCTGGAAAGAAATGCAGTGTCCCTGTCACTTCCTGTGAAATGAACTGAAAGCAGAAACAGTGTTGACCTTCTGTAAACCACTAATCCCCATTCCCCGTGTAAAGGAAATGAAGGCAAGAAGACATCTTTGACGTCTAATCTGGGTGAAACCTTAGTTGTCCCATAGATAGAGAAAAGGAGAGAGTGAAGCCACCCAGGGACAGGGAGTGTTATTCACAGGTTTACAGGTGCAAAATAAAGTGAAAACAGAAAACTACTGCAGCCACCATTACAAAATGAAAATCTGCATTGTATAAAATTTTTGTTTAGAAGAAGTCACTCTGTAAGCATGTGCATGTTCTCAGAATAATGTGTACAAAGTGGTAGAACCCTAATTGGCATACACTATTGACCCTTCCTCCCCCAGTCTGAAGGAATACAGGAGGCTGATATCAAGACAGACCTAGTTCTTCTAGTTGTTTTTAAGAATACACTAGGTTTTTTTTTTTTTTGTTTTTAAATGTATACATAACCGGATTAATTTTCTGCATAAATTTTTTTTTTCCAGCTTGGCCTCGGTCACACTAATCATGTACGTGAGCCTACATTGGTTACAGCCCTACAAGGGAAGAACATTCGTCAGATCTCAGCAGGACGGTGCCATAGTGCAGCATGGACAGCAACTCCTGTCCCTCCAAGGGCCCCAGGTATTCACCTGTGTTTACCCATCCTAATTCCTATATAAGTATTATCTTCTAGTCTAAAGAGGAACTTCAGTTTTTTTGTGTGTTTTGTCCCCATTGTGCATGTGCGAGCGCACACTGCACTCTGTGAATGGTCCTGCAACCTGTGGGAGGAGGCGGGCCAAGGGACATCCTCCTTGTCTAGGCGAGGATTGTGGAAGTGGGAGCAGGTCCCAATAAAGTCAGTTCTTGCTCCCACTCTCTCCCACCAAAAAGCTAACTTGGTTTTTATCGGTTCAGAAAAAAAAAAAAAAACAACAACAACAAAAGAACTCAGTTACAAGCTGGGGGAGGGCGCAGACCAATGGGACTTTTTGAGTGAAGTTCTTTAACCACTTGCCCTCCTGAGGATTTACCCCCTTTATGACCAGGCCATTTTTTACGTTATGGCGCTGCATTACTTTAACTGACAATTGCGCGGTCATGCAACGCTGCACCCAAATGAGCTTTACGGCCTTTTTTTCCCCACTAATTGTGCTGTCTTTCGGTGGGATCTGATCGCTTGTGCATTTTTTATTTTTTGTGCTATAAGCAAAAAAAGACCGACAATTTTGAGAAAAAAAGCAATATTTTGGACTTTTTGCTATTAACCACTTGGCTACCAGGCACTTATACCCCCTTATTTACCAGGCCAATTTTCAGCTTTCAGCGCTGCCGCACTTTGATTGACAATTGCGCGGTCATGCAACATTGTACCCATATGACATTTTGATCATTTTTTTCTCACAAATAGAGCTTTCTTTTGGTGGTATTTAATCGCCACTGGGCGCTTTACTTTTTGCGCTATAAATAAAAAAAAGTGCAAAAAATTTGAAAAAAAAAAAAAAAGTTTCTTTGTTTCTATTATACAATTTTTCAAACAGGTATTTTTTCTCCTTCACTGATGTGCGTTGATGAGGCAGCACTGATGGGCACTGATAGGCGGCACTGATAGGCAGCACTGATGGGCACTGATAGGCAGCACTAAAGGGCACTGATAGGCAGTACTAATGAGGTGGCACGGATAGGCGGCACTGATAGACAGCACTAATGAGGTGTCACGGATAGGCGGCACTAATATGCAGCACTGATAGGCGGCACTGATAGGTGACACTGATGATGGGTACTGATAGACTGCACTGACTGTCATCACTGCTGGGCTCTGACTGGCAGCACTGACTGGCACAACCCCTGGGCACTGACTGGTGGCACTGACTGGCAGCACTGCTGGGCTGCACTGGTGGGTGGGCACAGGTGGGTGGCACTGGTGGGCACAGGTGGGTGGCACTGGTGGGCACAGGTGGGTGGCACTGGTGGGCACAGGTGGGTAGCACTGCTGGGCACAGGTAGGTGGCACTTCTGGGCACAGGTGGGTGGCACTGCAGAGTGGCACAGGTGGGTGCACTGCTGGGCACAGGTGGGTGCACTGCTGGGCACAGGTGGGCGGAGCTAGTGGGCGCACTGCTGGGCGGAACTTGCGGGTGGCACTGCTGGGCACCGATCATCAGGGCACTGATCATCAGTGCCCTGATGATCGGTGCCGATCCCCGCTCTGACAACTGCCGGTCCTCGGCAGTACTTTCCTCACGATCTGACAGCGTGAGGAAAGTGCAGCCGAGAACCGGCACTTGCATTTCCCTCTGATCAGCGTGTCATTGGACACCGCTGATCACGTGGTAAAAGGCCGCTGTGAGTGGCCTTTTACCACATCACGTGATCAGCTGTGTCCGTAGGACACAGCGATCACGGAGATCGCCGGGTGCGCGCCCCCTGGGGCGCGCAGGAGAGCGCGTTCTGGGAGGACGGCATATGACGTCCACTCAGAACTGGCTGGCCGCAGTGTAGCCGTCATTCGGCTATCTGCTGTCGGCAGCTAGTTAAACATGTCCAGTAAAAAAGATTTAATAAAATTTTGCCATAAATTTAGGCCAATATTTGCTAAAAAAAACAACCCAATACATGTAAATTAACTGATTTACGTGAAAGCTATAGCATTTACAAATGGCAGTATAGATAATGGGATTTTAAATTTTTTTTCTACTAGTAATGGCGACGATCAGCGAATTTTAGCAGGACTGCAGCGGACATTCTGACACTGGGGGGAACTAACTTGGTGTCACTGACATTTCCAGTGACACCAATACAGTGATCAGTGCTAAAAAAAAAAGCACTGACACTGTACTAATGGCACTGGGGAGGAAGGGGTTAATGTGAGGGCGATCAAAGGGTTAACTGTGGGCTGTGTGTGTTTTTTGCTAGGGGGCCTGTCGGAGATGTTCGGTGATTACCGGCCGGGACCCGGTGATTGACATCCGCTGGCGTGGATAGGGCGCGCGCCCCCTACCCGGGAAAGCAAAATCACAAGTAATATATATATATGATTTTGCGCACAGGTGCCGCCCTGTAGCAGTATATCTGTCCTTAAGCGGTTAAGGGCCAAGTTCACCTTTTAACAAAAAATTTTTTGCACATATTTTTGTGGGTAATAAAAATGTGCATTTTATTATTTTATTTTATTCTACAAGAGCCAGCAGTTTTGCACCCGCGAATGTTAGACTCCTGCAGCTATTTCATCCAGCTCTCTTGCCTTTACCTCTGTACGTGTTTTCTGTTTGAAAGCTGAAGGAAGTGTCAATGAACCACAAGAGCACTCATCAGCACCCTTTCAGCCCATTGAGAACAACAAGATGAACTTGTAGTTTGCATATTCACAGATTCTTGTGAATGAATGACCCGGCTGTGTGGGTGGAGCCTGGTACACATGCACTGATTTTAAAAATGTGGAAGTGGCTGCGAGGGAGAGGAAACCCCGCCCACTGTCACAGGGAAGGGGGGCTTGTTGAACATGTTACACCCTAAATATGGTGAACTTATCTTTTTAAGTATCTGAAATCTACAAAATATTGTGTACATACACTATTGGATTTCTACTTAAGGCAGCTATCTAACACAACTGCATTTAGTCCAAGCAATACAACAATGTTCAAAGTTAGTCAATAAACTGAGGCAGTGATCCCTATTTATAACAAACTTTGGAGCTTCCCATCTTCTTATATTACATAGATCTAGTGGGGTACCAATAGGGATAACAGAGGTTGCCCCTGGCCTTGCACATTCAGTCACTGGCCTCTGGCCTGGCACTGGGGAGGAAGGGGTTAATGTGAGGGCGATCAAAGGGTTAACTGTGTGCTGTGTGTGTTTTGCTAGGGGGCCTGTCGGAGATGTTCGGTAATTACCGGCCGGGACCCAGTGATTGACATCCGCTGGCGTGGATAGGACGCGCGCCCCCCTACCCGGGTTTTATAATCACAATGTAATGGAGTGGGAAGTATTGGCTACAGAGCAATTTATAGATGTTGGGGATGTTAAATCTGAAGCTGTGGCTACAGGACTCAATCACACATATCGCACCAAGACCTAGTTGAACCAAGTTAGGCCATTGCATTACTATCTAAAATACCACAAAATAAAAGTAAGAATTACTAGAGCTACCTATACCTTTAACAAGCAGACAGATCTAAGTGTCACTAGAATGAATTGGGTAATTTAGGTATAAAAATGAACTCATTCATTTGAAGGGTAGATTACAGAAATCCTTCACACATGCTAAAAAAAACCTCAGCATAGGTGTTGGCTAGTTTTTCTTCCCCCGAAAGAAAGGGAAGGAACAAACAGTATACATACTCTCTTGTACAGAGCTAGAACCTGAATTGTGCATAAACAATTAATGATTTTGTTTGTGTTTGTAGGTGTTTCAGTACCATTACAGTTGGGTCTCCCTGATGTCATCCCTCCACAATATAGCTCTCTCAAAGATATCTGCACCCACACAGTTCGTGCCAGGTTGCGTCTGCTCTACCATTTTTCTGATCTCATGTATTCATCCTGGAGACTACTGAACCTCAGCCCCAATAACCAGGTATTAAAACCATCTCTGCCATCTTCCCCTCTCCTTCATTTTCATGTTTCTCAGAATTATTTATTTGTATTGAACATACACCCAAATGAGTATGGCATATGTTATGAATTTCTCTGGATTCCTTGTACGAATGTTTTTTCATTTGAATAACAGTTCTATCTAAAAAGAAACATGCTCTGATGAGGTTCATTTTTCATCATTTCTTGGGTGACAATATTTGAACACCGGGATCAATGTATTTTGTGATGGCCTTTCTGCCTAACAGATGTTGAGATATTGGACACACAGGGAGAAAATTGATTGACTTATAGATGTGTACTCTGAGAAAAACACAATCATTGTGTACCCCTGCAAAGCAGGATGCAGAACCTACACATGTAAATATGGCTATATACACAACTACACATTTTTGATAGGTTTTCCTTAAAAAAACAAACAAAAAAATAAAACACGTTTTGTTAAGACTATTTACATGAAGTTATTCTTTTTAAAGTTGAAACATTGAAAAGATTCTAATTCTACCTTTAAAGTCTAAGTCAGGGGTGGGCAAACTGCAGCTCTCCAGCTGTTGTGGAACTACATTTCCCATGAGGCATTGCAAAGATTACAAAACTGACAGTTACAGCTATGACTTGCAGAGGCATGATGGAACTTGTAGTCCTGCAACAGCTGGAGAGCCGCAGTTTGCCCACCCCTGGTCTAAGTGAACTTTTAGTTTAAATTGGCTAAAAATATTCCAGGTCCATAAAAACAAAATGTGGTCAAAGTCAAAGTTCATTTTCTTTAGAAAACAGTCTTTACCAGACACAGAATTTGGCCAGGACTTGCATTCCAGCACTGTGAAAAAGTACTTCACCTTTAGATAGCCAAAGTTAATGAGATCATGCTCATGGGGGATCTTGAGGTAACTGTCCATTGAACTTGAGTCTAGTCTCCACAGCACTAAACTTTAGGGAAACCTGGATGGTCTGGTTGGCTGGAGCCAAAGTGAACACTTTAGATAGGTCCTCACTTCACAAGCCCCTAACCAAGTAGAATCACATGGAGAATAGTTACCACCTGAGACCCTGTTAGATGGAAACCATAACGAACTACCCCGTCACCCAATTTTTTTGGCTCTTTTTCACATCCCTTCCCCTCTTTTTTCAAAAGCATCCTGCTATGCACTTCCCCTTAACCTCCTAATCCCCATAACCCCCATCATGCTCAATTATCCCCACATCGCCTTCTTTCTCTACACACCATATATGAATGCTTCCTTTACTCCTAAACCCTCATCAAGTATGAAATGTATTGGGACTGCATTACGATTCCATAAATTATTCATTATGCATACCTGCAGTATGCCTTCTGTCTAAATGGCGTACTGCTTGGCTTTAACACATGTGCCCATTTGCCTCTTCGTTCATGCCCTTTGATATTGTACTTGTGCAATCTTGAACAATGTCTAATACATTTGCGTCGTATGTTTTTTGCATAACTTATTGATGTGCTCACGGTATGCTTAAACAATAAAAAAAAAAGCAGATACAGCGTGATTAGGAAAGCCTGTCACATGCCAGCATGCAGCAAAGAAGGTCCCTTTCTCGCTGTGTGAAAGTAGCAGGTCCAAATTACAGAACCCTGCTGAGTTGGAACTATTGCTCTGTAATCAGCAATGTTTGTTTCTCCCCACTGATTTGAGAGCTCTGGCTGTGACTTATGGGGGGCATAGGTAGATGACAGGCTTTTCTACTTAGGCTGTGGTTGCTTTCCAAAGAAAACAAACAAGACTTTTCAAACCCTTTTTGTTTCGATGCACTTGGAATATATTTAGCTGATTTAAACTTCAAACCACACAAACTAGGCAAGATAATTCACTTGGTTTTAATCTCTAGTCAATATTTATAAATATTCGATTCTAGATTTAATCCTTTCTGTGTCCCTTTTGTTTATGGACCTTGCAAGCAGACCGCTAAGCCCATGTGATGTAGTTGCTGGTGAAAGCAGTAGTGCTGTTGTATGAGTACAGTATATGAGCATATGCGGTTTTTTTTTTCTATACATCCAGTGCTGTACTTATGCCTATGATAGCACCACTCTATATACATGTAGAGCAGCACACAGCCATTAATGTCATTGGGAGGTTGTACGTTGCACCTGCTGCTGCCTAGGAGGAGGAAATATGCTGGCAGTTATGCTAACTGGGCTCAGCCCCGAGTTCAGGAGCCCTTATATTATAACCATCTTTGTGAGTCTCCAATAGTCCTGCAGCAGGTAAACCTTATGCTGCATCCTTGCTGTATCTGATTTTTATTTTTGTTTACCTTTGCAGAGTAGTACATCCCACTACAATGCAGGAACTTGGGGTATTGTGCAGGGTCAGCTAAGACCATTGCTGGCTCCAAGAGTCTATACCCTCCCCATGGTACGATCTATTGGTAAGACGATGGTTCAAGGAAAAAACTACGGACCTCAGATTACTGTAAAGAGAATCTCCACCAGGTTAGTCGTGTTACTGTGGGCTATCCCTCCCCGCAATTATTTCTTCAGACTTTGAATATCATTTTATATCTAACCAATGTTTTCTTTTTATTGTCCCCTCTGACAGGGGTAGGAAGTGTAAACCCATATTTGTGCAGATTGCCCGCCAGGTAGTGAAGCTGAATGCATCTGATTTGCGTCTCCCCTCCCGGGCTTGGAAAGTGAAGCTTGTAGGCGAGGGAGCAGATGATGCAGGAGGGGTGTTTGATGATACAATAACTGAGATGTGCCAGGTGAGATTTCTTTGTACAGATCTTCATTATGCTTACATCGGTTTGTTTGTTTGGTTTCCCACATGTTAAATATATTCTGTGCAATAAATATGGAGTTCAATAAAACCAATTATTGTAAAGGACCATTAGCTATCATTTAGATCTCACAAGCTCTGTACTTAAATACTTCTATCTATTAGATCTGGACAGTTTAAAGTGACTCTAAACTCAAACTTTTGTTCAATTTTTTTTTTCAAAACATTTAGAGGCAGGTATGTAAGATCTGCAAGTCGCTCTCTGCAGGCCATGTGACCTGGAGCTGCACCGGCAAAACTAACAAATTTCTGGAGAATGCAAAAAAAAATTTGGACTAATTCCATATTTTCTTACAGTAATAAGAAACTGGTAATTGCTGAGGTCAGCTAAAACATCACATCATATAATAAACTGATGTGATTGTACTCTACATCATTTTTGTATTACCATGCTGTATTCATTATACAGCTGTCAGCAGTGAGTCATGTTTAGTGTAGTTTTTTTTTCTGTCCTTTTTTGTTTTTTTTTAGTGTAACCAATTGTTACTGAAAAAGAGGTGAGCTGTTTTATGGATACCAAAAGGAGGGGAGTTATAATAAACACATAAATGGGCTTCTTTATCTCAGCTAATATGCTATCAAGAACTGGTGATAGGTGATAGTAGCCACAGCCTAACTCCATGCAGTCCACACACCCCCAACATGTTTCGTGCTGCCCACGGGGTATGAATAAGCCCCATGGGTGGACAAAACCTGTTGGAGGGCATGGACTGGATGGAGTTTAGCCTGAGGCTGCTTTTGTCTTTTACACAGTGGGCTTGCATGGTGTATGATGACTGACATTTCTCTCTCCTTATTCTACGGATTATATGTCAGGGCAGACTCCTAGCCTGGCCTGCTCCCTCAGTGGAAATTACCAAATGGGGGCCATAGATGCCTGAGTTTAGACCCTAAAGTTGGTTTAGGTTCTGTTGTCTGCCATCTTGATTAACAGTCTCTGGGTTGGCCCACGGCATGTGCGCCACCTATCAGTAATAGGACACCCTTGCCACTTAATACTGCGTGTAGTACCACCATGCTAGGATTATCAGTCCTGGTTTAGCTTGAATGCCCCTCGTACGTTATAAGTGAGAATAAAATATATATTATCCATCCATGTGCATAAATAAAGTGCACTGATGAATACTGGAGTCTGTCATTGTTGGTCATGAATGTTTAGCATGGCTGATAGAAGGGAAGAACAGAAAAATAGCTCGAAAACGTATTGCTTTGTTTATGTTTCTCGGTGTACCTTTATTTTTTTTATTTTCTGCTGTCCTTCACTAGGAGCTGGAAACAGGAGTGGTTGATCTCCTCATTCCTTCACCAAATGCAACTGCTGAAGTGGGTTATAACAGAGACAGGTAAGCAGAACCTTTTTAGTGTTATCGGTTGTATTTTATTTAAAGTGATTCTAAAGGCTGTAATAAAAAAAAAAAAAAATAACAAACGTTCTACTTTCCTGCTCTGTGCAATGGCTTTGCACATAGCAGCCCTGATCCTCTTTTTATTGCGTCCTCTGCCGGTGGTCCTGGCTCCTCCACCCTGTCGAGTGCTCCTTAATAGCAAGCTTCTTGCTATGAAGGCACTCGAGCAGGCTGGCTCCAGAGCTGCACTCCTGTGAATGGACGTTGTCCATTCACACACACTGCGTGGCTCGGTCCCACCCCCTGCTCTCTCCTCGTTGGTTCCCTGGCTGTGATTGACAGCAACAGGAGCCAATGAGGAGAGAGAGCCTCAGCTCTCATGCACATTGCTGGATCGAGATGGGGCTCAGGTAAGTATAAGGGGGGCTGAGGGAGGACCTGCACCCAGAAGGTTTTTTTTACCTTTAATGCATAGAATGCTTTAAGGTAAAACACCTTCTGCCTTTAGAACCACTTTAATGTTTTTTTTTCTAGAGAGTGTCAAACAGGGAACCAATGATTTTCCTGTACTCTACAGCTTTGCTGATCACAGTCGATTAGTAAATGTATGTAATTATTTGTTCATCTCACTGTGCTATATTTGTTTACATGTTGGCAAACTGACACTAACACACTGAAAACTAAAAACATACTATGTGGAAAATTGGGGTATAATACTACTGGTGTTTCTCTCCTCAGGTTCTTGTTTAACCCCTCTGCTGGATTAGATGAGCACCTTATGCAGTTCAAGTTTCTGGGTATCTTAATGGGTGTAGCTATCCGCACCAAGAAGCCGCTTGATTTGCACTTGGCCCCCCTGGTCTGGAAGCAGCTGTGCTGTATCCCTCTAACACTGGAGGACCTGGAGGAGGTTGATCTGCTCTATGTGCAGACTCTCAATAGCATTCTTCACATTGAAGACAGTGGCATCACAGAAGAGACCTTCCATGAGGTACCTGCCATCATGACGCCCTTTATTAGAACTCACAAAACTGACACATAAGATCTTTATTCTTGTTATTGAGATCTACAATATTCTAATGGATAGAAAAATAAACCGAATAATAGCCTCAGGGACAGAAACTAAATGTCCCACTATGCAGTAAGTTGCTGGAAAAGTGGAGTAACCCATTGAATCCAATCCCTATCCATCTTGTACCAATCTGACGTCATCGGAGTGAAATTGGGCGATTGCGGCACATATGAATAAGATTATTTTATGTAATAAGGCCAATAGTGTATAGATGTCGCAAGGAATTAATTTATAAAGAAGTGATTATTGGAGGAAATCTTACATTATAGAAATCTTATATGCAGAGCCATTCTGGCCCAGACTTGTATTCTCTCCTTCTTTCTAATATGAACAGAAATAGCAGAACTTCCTAAATGAATGTAACAGCAGGCAGTGACCAGAGTTCCCTGGAGCTGGTTGTGGGAATAAAGTAAGGACATTGAATTTCAATACTACCATTGTTTATGTTCTTCTTCAGATGATCCCTCTCGATTCCTTTGTGGGTCAAAGTGCTGATGGAAAAATGGTGCCCATTATCCCTGGGGGGAACAGCATCCCTCTGACCTTCTCCAACCGCAAGGAGTATGTGGAGAGGGCAATAGATTACAGACTGCATGAGATGGACCGACAGGTGAGGAGCCAGTAAACCTTTTAAAGAATACATGGTTTTAGCTTTGTGTGGTTCTTAGAATGGTATATTCTGTACACCAGAGCTTTCACCCAAAAGCCCATCATTGCACACATTTGCTGCGCATAATTTCCTTGTAGTGTATTTTATCACAAGCAGAGCCATTGTTCCTGGGTCCGTAAAGAATTGTGCAGTGTAATGGCAATGTTCATTCATTCCAAGCAGAACATAAGGCTGTACACTGTAGCTTAAGGTAAAATCATAACCTAGACTTTAATTATTACAGTTTCATCCCCAACACTTTACACACAACTATGACGTATAGGGCCAGTTCACACCATATGCAGTCCAGTGCATTTTTGTTTCTGCATCAATAAATGCATGGATAGTAGGTTATATGGTTTTCAATGGCATAGTTCACACCAGTACAGTCAGTTCCAGTGCATTCCAGTTCCAGAAAAAAAAAAGAACATGCTTAATTTTTTCTACACTGAACTGTATTGGAACGCATAGAAATGTACCAAAACGCACCAGTTGGCACATGTTCTTTAAGGTGAAGAAAAAAAGGAGAAAAATGCACTGGAACACATTAAAATGCATCAAAATTGTGCATGCAGAAACTCATTCAGAAAGCATCCGGGCTGCGTTTCTATGGTGTAAACCAGCCCTTAAACAAGGCGGCCTGTCTAAGCTGATGATGTTCTAACATAACTGTGCCAGCTATTTTCCAGTATGCACCTCTGCAATGGCACAAAAGACTTTCATGTTACACAGTACTTGGTCTATAGATGAAACCAGAAAACGCTCAAGAACTAGTGCCTTCACATAATTAGATCCTCATTGTCAAACAAGAATTTCACTTTTGCAAGTCAGAGTATACAGCTTTTTAGCCATCATGTATTGGTATGATAACACCGTAATTAACCACTTGCCCTCCAGAGGATTTACCCTCTTTCCTGACCAGGCCATTTTTTGCGACACGGTGTTGCATTACTTTAACTGACAATTGCGCGGTCATGCAACTCTGTACATAAATTAAATTTATGTCCATTTTTTCCCCACAAATATAGCTTTCTTTTGGTGGTATTTTATCACCTCTGTGTTTTTTTATTTTTTTCGCTATGAACAAAAAAAGACAAAATTTAAAAAAAAAACTATTTTGCTTTTTGCTCTAAAACCTATCTAATAAACATTTTTTTAAAAATCTAATTTTCGTCATAAATTTAGGCCAAAATGCTACATGTCCTTGCTAAAAACAAATCCTAATAAGTGTATATTAATTGGTTTACGTGAAAGTTATAGTGTCAATAAATGGCGGTATATATACTGGAATTTTTATATATATATATATATATATATATATATATATATATATATATATATATATATATTCTAGTAATGGTTGCATTCAGCGACTTATAGTGGGACTGCGGCAGGCATTCTGGCACTAGGGGGAACTAACTACCACTGACATCTCCAGTGACACTAGAGTGATCAGTGCTAATAAAAAGAACTGTTATAAAAGAAGTTTCAGCGAGCGCTACAAACACAACAGCTGCTGGGACACCAAAGGCAACCATAAACCTCCTAATATAAATGTCAATGTAAATAGGTGCAGCGCTGATATAAAATATATTATGGAATAGCTATATACTTCAATCAATCATAATATTGGTATGTCTCCAAATAACGGCAGAAATATTATAAATGAACGCATTTAAATACAATAAATATAAAGTGCAATATAATTATATCCACATGAAAGCGGTTGTAGTGATAAAACAGTCCAAGAAATTGAACGTGAGGATCTCGTCAGATCACAACCAAAGTGCTCGAATATTCTTATCCAGGTGTGCCAGATGATGTAACTGAGTAATAAGTGAAGGGCACAATCACCAGAAGCGCGCTATAAAACACGCATTTGAGGTTAATACTGCCTCATCAGGTATGTTCAGTTCACCTGCTCCAAAATCAGGCCAGGTTCCTGTTCCCTTCAGGGTCCCTTGACAGGTATCACTGCGTCGAGTCACCTCTATAATAGGCTCTGTGAATGATGGCACTCGGAGAGAGAGCCCAACAAAGGATGCCACATAGCGTGATACTGTTTTTCAATGGAATTTTATTTCCAATAAAACAAGGTAGTAATAAAAGGAAAACACTGACCATATAGTTTCAGGATGGCCACCAGCGGTGGCGTGAAGTCTAGATGCTGTAGCCCCTTCCTGACGCGGTTCGTGCAAAGCACTTTATCATAGGGTACAGGCTTACAGCATCAGACTTCTATACAGGTGTATTTATATTGAAAAATGGCTATCGCGCCATTTTGCCAGATACTCGGCGCATGCGCAGTGCGTCGGCGCCATTTTGTCATGGACCAAAAGATTACATTGCATATCTCTATGTCCATGGAAGGTGCATGCGCACTACGGCACCATTTTGTTGGCAGTTTTAAACTGCAGCAGATTGCTCTGTTTACCAGATAAGAGGAGAAAGCTTCAAACGTCAGGATAGATAGGATAGATATCCTTATCAAACTGCTCACATTGAGGGGTAGAGAAAAATGCTTTGAGAACTGCTTTATAGATAATAGTTAGATTGCGTTATATATTTTTACTACCATATGTCCTTTTAACATTTTAGTGACTACATTTATAGTGACTCCATTTTATACACTGACTCCTTATACGGTTTTTTTCTGATATTCTTATATTTTTATAATTTTTGATAGTTTTGATTCCAACAATTATCGGTATTTAATTGGAACATATAAATAATTTTTGTCATCGCTTTTATTATACTTTTTAATATTTTTTAAAAACTCCAAACTTCCTCAGTACCGGGTCCATTACTGTTAGGCAAGTTCATTTAAATCCTTACAGTTGTGACCAAAACAAAAGAAACTTGCTCCCCTCATAACCAGGGGAGCAACTGCTTCCCCAAATCCTCAGGAAAATCTGGCACAGGCATCCATATGCTGAGCCAGGAAGTAAGCTTCGTGTGTGTGAAAGGATTTCCGCTGTCCCATTCAGCCCGTGCAGCTTGAAAATTTGGAGCACCCTTGCCCTACATGCCTTCTCCAAACCAGGCCCCTTGGCAAGTTTCACCCCACCCACTGGAGTTTAGTTTTAGGGTTAGCCCTATGATTATGGGACGAAACTCGTCAGAGGGTGTAGTTTTTGGCCGAGACGTGTAGGATGAGGCTACTCCAAACTTTCAAGCTACGTGGGCTGGATGGGAGAGCGGGGATCCTTTCACACACTACTCCTTCCAGTTGTTATCTGAAATGCTGCTATGCAGGCAGATCTCCATCTCTGGGATGGTGCTACCTGCTTATAGAAATAATTGTGTACAACTCTGGGGAAGAATTGATTTTTTTTTTAGAATTGTATTTATTTTTTTGTGTTCAGGGTGATTTCAGAAATCTAATAATTTGTGTTTTTCTCAGGTTGCAGCAGTGAGAGAGGGCATGTCATGGATTGTACCAGTTCCCCTGCTCTCTCTCCTCACTGCCAGACAGCTAGAGCAAATGGTATGCGGGATGCCAGAGATCTCTGTGGATGTCCTGAAGAAGGTAGTGCGGTACCGAGAAGTGGATGAACAACATCAATTAGTGCAGTGGTTCTGGCAAACTCTGGATGAGTTCTCCAATGAGGAGCGGGTCCTATTCATGAGATTTGTTTCTGGAAGATCCAGGCTTCCAGCCAACACCGCAGACATCTCACAGCGCTTCCAGATCATGAAGGTTGATCGGGTGAGTAAGCCCTGTGTCATTTTTATTAGACCTCTAACGATCCTGTCCCTCACCGGTATCTTCTTTTATGTTCCAGTTTTCGGCCATCTTTATTGGCCAGCACGGGATGACATCATGCATGCGCAGGAACTAGTCATCCTGGCACACAGAGATCAGGCTGACTGATGTAAGCGGAGCTGAGCATGTGTAGCTCAGTTTACAGTATGGGAATTGCTGCAAGCAGGCAGGTAGGTGTAGTTTTATTGTAGAAGAGAAATTGCATGTCTCTTCTGCAATAAAAAGCTGTCTGCTCACAGTAAACGCTAGCAGAACATTAATTCCGCTTTAATAGTTGGGCAAAATGTACAGCTTCTGCTAAACGGATGCTCTTAACAATAATCAGAAGAATTGTAACACTGTATATAGTATGATAAAAAGTCTTTAATCTTAGTTCCCTGCCTGTACTCCAGTACATTGTGTTTTGTGGACAATTTTTATCAATCAGCAGCTACAGCTAGCACAGAGCAGGTAAGTATAACATATTTGTTATTTAAAAAAAAAACAAAAAAAAAACCCCAAGCATTTAATATCGCTTTAAAGCGGCAGGTGCAGCTGTTCGAATACAGTGTACCAATGGGGAGGATTCCTCCATCCACCTTGTTTTGTGGGAATGGTTGAACCTGTTAATCTTTTTTGTTTTAGTGTATGGACAGGCCCCTTTCACTTAACCTGTCCAATCGGGTCCGTCTGTCAGTTTTTCTGGCGGACCCGATCAGACCGTCCATTCACCTCTATGAAGTGGTGGGTGTAAATGGACCTTTGTCCGTTTACACCCACCTACCTCCAATTTGATCCGATTCAATAAAAAGAAACTGAAGGGAATTTGTTTCCCTTCCGTCTAGTGGATCGCATTGGAGGACAGTTGGGTGTAAACGGACAGCCGATCCCTTTTACACCCGGCTGCCCATAGAGCAGAGCGGGTTGTGTCCGCTCTGGATAAAAGGAGAGGACATGGACCTGTCATCCGCCCACTGTGCTCTGCTCAGCAGGGGAATCAACAGGCAGATCCCCCGCTGAGCAAGGTGGAGTCCACCTCTTGTGAAGGGGGCCTTAAGGTGGGAATACACAATTAGAAAATCATAGCCCGCATTAACCAATCTAAAAAAAATCGTTCATTGGGCAATACGTAGTGTTGACGTCTTCCGCACAAATGGAAGTGATGCAGTGTGTGTGTGACCTTGTAGCCACGCCCTTCCGGCCAGAACGTGTGAAATACATAACAATTATCAGCAATGAGTATAATATAGTTTCATTACCTATATACATAAATAGTGATACATAAAAGATAATATGCAGAATTCTGGTTTCATTATCTCATTAGGCCAATCTACTTTTAACATTTGGATTTTTCGTTGGATGTTTATGTCCAAGGAATCTTCATAAACACAGAGTCATCTTCTGTTTCCACTCATGCGTGATAGCGCTTGATAGATTTTTTTCATACGACCGTCATACCACCTCATAGAAAATCGGTTGTATGCAAAACGGCAACATTTTTCACTGTTGTTCAACCAGATTTTTTCGTTGACCATATTGTTATCAGTTAAAACATCCTGTTAATCAACGAAGAGAAAATCATTCGATCAGTGGTTCCGCAAAATTTTTCGTACAATTTTCTTATCGTGTGTACAGGACATTAGTCTTCAGTTTTGTTTGTCGTTAACTTGTAGAGGTCGCTACATTCTACTTTCTTTACAACTGTGTTTTATTTGTTAAAGTGAAATTCCTGCTTTTTAAAAAAAAAAAAGAATTGCAAAGAAGGTTTAATAACATATGAAAGGGAATGTTTAGAACCTGTGACCGTTTTTTGTGAGTGTCTGCTACTTATTGGAGAGTTTTATTCTCCCTTACCATCCCATTGATAGTGGTCACTAGCAATCAGAAGGTTGTGGTAACCATACAAATACTAGTCCGTTCCATAGATTTGGCTTTGCTTCCACTTTATTGGCTGTGTGAGTTTTAATTAAGGTTTGAGTGGAGTGACAGAGAGGAAGATGCCCTGTAACACATCATGGCCATAATAAATAAAATACATGTGGCCCCAGCAGAGTGAAAGCCCTTTCAGTGCTGAAGTTGGTTTCCCAGAATAAAAAAACAATCCAGCAGCACAAAACCTTTCTATTTTAACTACCACCCCCAAAAGAAAAGTAAAAAACTTTCACCCTTGAAAGGAAACGTAAATGATAACACAACTTTTCTCAACTCATAAATAACTAAAATAATAAATCATAATTAGTGTCCAAACCATGTGAATGTCCTCAATAAGTAAATAAATTGAAGTCTTCTATAATAAGTCTCTTTATCCTTCAAAAAATAAACGTCTCTTTACTTTATCCCACGTAGGTGTTTCTGGATTTTCGTGTACCTCAAAAAAATAAAACTCAAAATAGTGCATTACCTTTCATATAAATAACAAATTGTGAATCGTGCCAACTGCATAACAAGTGCAATATACACGTGAAGAAAAAAAAAATATATATATATATATATATATTAATATAAACTCTCCAACTAATATATAATAGTGTATCAAAATACACTAAATGGTGAAAGCAAACACTAGCAATCAACAGTGATTCACTTCAAAATTGTGTAAAAATACACTCAACATAAAAAGTGATCGACCTTCCAAGCCAATTCTAATAAAAGGATATAATCCTTATTTCTTAATATATCGTGCAAGAATAAGTCCCAGAAGTGTTCCACTCCAACTGGTGTAAAAGTGAATTACCAAATGCCAGTAGCAAACAGGCACTTCTCAAATGGATGGAAAAGACTCTCCAGGCTCCTAATTCCCTAGAAAAAGTCCAGGAAGTGACGAAACGCGTCGGGTCACGTGACGGCTGACGCACTCACACCTACCGGAAGTGCGATCGTGGCCATTTTGGAAGTGGGAACATGCGGTGGTTCCCATACTGAATTGCTGTCTCTGTTTGTGGAAGCTGATTTCTGCTTTTTAAAATGTAAGTTACTCAATAAATGTTGTTTACTTTTTACACCATCATCTCTAAAACCCTGATTTATTTCATGAGGATAATGGAGGAGATATATCAAGACTAATTAGGAGCCTGGAGAGTCTTTTTCAACTGTTATGCAGTTTGCACAATTAACAATTTGTGGCACGTTATTTATATGAAAGGTAATACACTATTTTGAGTTTTATTTTTTTGAGGTACACGAAAATCCAGAAACACCTACATGGGATAAAGTAAAGAGATACGTTTATTTTTTTGAAGGATAAAGAGACTTATTATAGAAGACTTTAATTTATTTACTTATTGAGGACATTCACATGGTTTGGACACTAATTATGATTTATTATTTTTAGTTATTTATGGTTTCCCAGAATGTTATGACTGCCTACATCAGTATCTGATTGGCCTTTTCCAGGTGTTGAGGGTAATTGTTATTTTGGTTACTCTTCTTGTAATTTAAGAGATATATGTAATGTTTTTCTTGCCTTTTGCAGCCTCACGACAGTCTGCCTACCTCACAGACTTGCTTTTTCCAACTACGACTCCCTCCATACTCGAGTCAGCCAGTGATGGCCGAACGTCTGCGCTATGCAATCAACAACTGCCGATCCATAGATATGGACAATTACATGCTGTCACGCAACGTGGACAACGCTGAAGGATCAGACACTGACTACTAAGCTCTGCTCGCTCTCCAGCAGTGAAGGGGTTGTTCTTACACCAAGCATTTTACAACACCTGCAATATTTTCTTTTAATAACAAAAAAAGTTTGTATTTAATTTATCCCTACATTGTAAATGAAAATAAAGTGAACTCGTCCCTTCCTCACTCAACTGAATCTAAGAATAAGTTGCATGGAGAGCGGATTTTCTTTTGAGGGACGGGGAAGAGGCTGGGGCCTTGATGACCTTCTCCACATGAACCTGGTCAGTGCTGTACTTGAATATTGTACATCGGTGCACTTAATGTTCACCCCAAAAAGTTTTACATGAATATTCCTATTTATTTTGTTTTAATTTGAAAAATGCCTGTGCAGGACTAGTAATGCAGGAAAATAAAACAGACTGAAGAAGATTGTTGCTGGTTTTGATTGCCTTTACTGTGGATGCTCACATAGGTCATGCGTCTGTTAGGGTGAGTTCAACACAACCTATAATGGGGAAGGGGGTCACTGCCATGAGAAATGCTGCTGTCAGCTTGGGGTATACTCAGGAGATAAAGCTCTTAGGTCAATATTTGGAGCTTATTTCACATCTTTATTTCGACACCAAATGCATAACTTTCCTAAATAGTCAATATCTTACCAGTCTGGAAAAAAACATATTGTCATTATAGTTACATTAGCATGCATGTTCAAAGCCATGAGGTTTCATTGCCCTTAAGTGACTCGGCATTTGGCCATAGCAGATGTGAATGAATGCTGCTGCTTTGGGTGGGGACCTCCTAGGTGCCTACGCTTTTTTATTAATGTTACAGAGTCACTTTAACAGTAATGTATAGTGTTTTTGTATATAGTTTTATTTATGTTCCAGACAAAAAAAATAAAAAATAAAAAAGTACACTTTGAAAACATTTCGTAATTTTTTTTTTTACCAGTTAAAAATGAATTATTACTTATGAATATTTCCTCCTTTGAGACTTTCAGACCGTAAACAGAACTGAAGGCACCTTTCTTGTCTGTTGGGGAACAAAGTAAGCCATATGCTCTTGGGTTATACTGTCACCTACAGGAGGAACACCATCAGGCAAAAAATCTGTAGACTAATTAGTATAACCACACCTCTACCCAGCATGACTCAGTTTTCTGCTGGGAAAAGTCTAACCATTTTACTAGCTTTTTCTTCAAATGTTTGAGCTCTTTATTGATCAAGAATCCTTGCTGCTTGAGTTGGATGCCAAATGTCAGTTATCCAGATCGCCCTTCCTAAGCCTAGCTTTGAAATTCAGTAACCAGACCCCACAGAATTGTACTTTCAGCCTGGACATTGAACCTCCAACTTTTCTCCATTGGGGTCCACATGAGGCGTTTTCCAGACCCCATCCTGGTAACAAGTTATGCGTGGGTCACTTACAGAGCCATACAATTGTTGCAGCGCTTGCCCCATCTCTGACGACTCAAAAAAGGCCTAGCCTTTTGAAATGCCTGCTATTGTCTCCCACCATTAGTGTTGAAGCTTTGTTCCGCTTCTGCTTTGCAAGAGAGACATGTTGAACTCAAGTTTTTTCCTGCTTGCCCATCTGTAGTGACCTTGTTCACCTTCTACTTTCAGGCCCTCATTGGCCATCAGTTGCCTGGATTTATAGAATCTAAGGTCACCACACAGATTAACTTACCTTTCCTTGTTGCCTTGGGGTCTCTAGAGCCTCTAGGCTGAAGTTTGTCTCTGGAGCGGTGTCCCTTCCTGTCCACCACCCTCTCCCTCTGAGCAATTCTCTTCCCTTGGGGCATGCAAGGCCATCAGTGGTATCTGTGGTGGATAAATCCACAGCATTGTTGCCTTCACAACCTCTCATTACCAGGCAGTTACCCATCTCTAGTCTTTTGCAGGGGCATCCGGTGTTGAGAGGAAAAAAAAAAGTACCTCTTATCTCCTTTTAGTCTACCTAAGCCCCTACTTGATTTTTTCTAGTCTAGTTTCTGAGCAGACCTATGTGTCTGCCTCTGAATGATCAGGTAGTATCTTTGCCTGATTACTCAGCTTCCCCATCAGATGCCTGACAAAAGTTTTTTTTCTCCCCATCTTTGGGGGATTTCATCATCTCTGAGACTGCCTTCTGGATTCCTTGAACACATAGTTCCTGCTTCATTATGGGATCCCTTTCTAGGTAGTCTGGTTGTAGTTATGCATAGTACAGTGGGTCTCCATTTTACCCACGCTGACCCCCCTAAGGGTAATCTGGAAACCAGTTCTTACCAACTGGTAGTTTATGGACATGGATGAGAGGTTCATGCAACAAGGTGCATCTCAGACACTACATTGCAGGTGAAGGATGTTGGAAGAAGGGCCCATGTGTCCCTGGGCTGTCGACAGGAAAAACAAGAAAGTCTGCTGCTGCAGGTATCCTCTGCCAGGAACAGGGACTGCCTTGGGACCAAACCATTGGGGCGGGCCCTCTTCATTGGCTGATCTGCAGATTCATTAATTTCTTTATGGCACTGTTCCCTGATCTGGGTTTAGGTGAATATTCTTTACGATCCTTGCTACAACTTGAGAAATGCTGTGTAGGAGGGTTTATCCTGGGTTGGCATACAGATTGTTTGTTTTTGTTTGCCAGTGTTCAATCCTTTTGTAGGCAGCAATATAACCCAACAGTATATGACTTCCTGTGTTTCTCAATGGACACCCAAGTATGTACACTCACACTTTCCCCTGTGTAGGGCTCTGTACAATTTTTAAATTAGAAAAAAACAATATGAGAGGAAACTGTTTCTTCAATGATTCCAAAGAAAACCTATCTGGTTTATAACAAAGAGATCTAAACAAGTACTTTAAAGCCATGTTAAACCCAAAAGCCAACCTATATTATATTACAGCTTACCAATTCACTACATTAGCTTTCTTTTTTAGGCTTTCTTTCATTTTCATCTGGTGATCCTGCCAGTAAGTATGTTTTCCACCAGAAAAAGCTTTCCTGCAGATGTAACAGTTAAGGTCCATTCACGGAAGGCCCCGTGCAGTTCCATGTTTTCCCGGGATGGGGATGCACAGGTGTTGCATGCGTCTCTGTGCTGGAATCTCATTCATTCCTATTGGGGACACTTGTCATATTAGGACACAGCAGCTGTGTCTGTGCAGCCATGTGGTTGAGTCCCCTGTTTTCGTTCAGGGACCAGTACCACTTGCACTCGCCCGAATACATAGATCAGCACTTTGATGATCGAATGCTGGTTTTTCAGTATGACTGAAGCTGGTTGTTAGACTGGCTTCTGTTGAACAGACCACAGTACACACAAGGACTGAAAGTCAACCAGTTCCTAGCCTAACACTCCCCCAGACTGATATTAATGCTGTCCAAAGGTGTCTACACTGCTCCTTCCGCCAGAGTGTAAGCTCTCTAATAGAGGAGGTGCATTACTGGGCAAATCAGGTGAAACCAGAAGGGGAAAAATGTAAAACGAAAAAAAAAAAGCTGATACAGCCGCCACAACAATGGTAAGCTGCAATGTATTACATTTTTGGGTTTAATACTTCTTTAAACAGTTTAAATTACCATATTTTTTGCTCCATAAGATGCACTTTTTTCCCCCAAAAAAATGGGGGGGAAATGTCTGTGCGTCTTATGGAGTGAATATTGACCAGTACTCCCCCCTCCACCGCCACTGTGTTAGAATACCTGGCCGGTCGCTCGGACTCCCTCTCTTCTGTCACAGAAGAGCCGAGTCAGCAGTGCAGCAGTGCAGCAGGGCCCAAAGCAGCTGCCCCTTAAAGCGGAGTTCTAGCTGATGGAAAGAAAAAGTCAGCAGCTACAAAAACTGTAGCTGCTGACTTTTAAAATACAGACACTTACCTGTCCCTCAGTCCTGGGGTGTCCTCACCACCGCTGGTTTCACGTGTCCCAGAAGACTACAGGGAGGGAGGACAATGTCCGCTTCGAATTGCCTAGGCGAAGTGGGAGCGGGTACCTGTCAAATTCAGGCACTCACTCCCCAAAGTTCTGCAGTCTCTGGTCCTCTCCTGTACTATGTCTGCAGTCTCTGGTCCTCTCCTGTACTATGTCTGCAGTCTCTGGTCCTCTCCTGTACTATGTCTGCAGTCTCTGGTCCTCTCCTGTACTATGTTTGCAGTCTCTGGTCCTCTCCTGTACTATGTCTGCAGTCTGGTCATTTCCTCTACTATCCGCAGTCTCTGGTCATCTCCTGTACTGTGTCCGCAGTCTCTGGTCATCTCCTGTACTGTGTCCGCAGTCTCTGGTCATCTCCTGTACTGTGTCCGCAGTCTCTGGTCATCCCCCTGTACTGTGTCCGCAGTCTCTGGTCATCTCCTGTACTGTATCCGCAGTCTCTGGTCATCTCCTGTACTGTATCCGCAGTCTCTGGTCATCTCCTGTACTGTATCCGCAGTCTCTGGTCATCTCCTGTACTGTGTCCTCCTGTACTGTGTCCGCAGTCTCTGGTCATCTCCTGTACTATGTCTGCAGTCTGGTCATCTCCTGTACTATGTCCGAAGTCTGGTCATTTCCCTGTACTATGTCCGCAGTCTCTGGTCATCTCCTGTACTATGTCCGCAGTCTGGTCATTTCCTGTACTATGTCCGCAGTCTCTGGTCATTTCCTGTACTGTGTCCGCAGTCTCTGGTCATCTCCTGTACTATGTCTGCAGTCTCTGGTCACCCCCTGCACTGTGTCCGCAGTATCTGGTCATCTCCTGTACTGTGTCCGCAGTATCTGGTCATCTCCTGTACTGTGTCCGCAGTATCTGGTCATCTGTACCGTGTCCGCAGTCTCTGGTCATCTCCTGTACTGTGTCCGCAGTATCTGGTCATCTCCTGTACTGTGTCCGCAGTATCTGGTCATCTCCTGTACTGTGTCCGCAGTATCTGGTCATCTGTACCGTGTCCGCAGTCTCTGGTCATCTCCTGTGCTGTGTCCGCAGTCTCTGGTCATCTCCTGTACTGTGTCCGCAGTCTCTGGTCATCTCCTGTACTGTGTCCGCAGTCTCTGGTCATCTCCTGTACTGTGTCCGCAGTCTCTGGTCATCTCCTGTACTGTGTCCGCAGTCTCTGGTCATCTCCTGTACTGTGTGTCCGCAGTCTCTGGTCATCTCCTGTACTGTGTCCGCAGTCTCTGGTCATCCCCTGTACTGTGTCAGCAGTCTCTGGTCATCTCCTGTACTATGTCTGCAGTCTCTGGTCATCTCCTGTACTGTGTCCGCAGTCTCTGGTCATCTCCTGTACTGTGTCCGCAGTCTCTGGTCATCCCCTGTACTGTGTCAGCAGTCTCTGGTCATCTCCTGTACTATGTCTGCAGTCTCTGGTCATCTCCTGTACTATGTCTGCAGTCCATTGGTTCAGAATACTTTTTTTTTTCTTGTTTTCCTCCTCTAAAACCTAGGTGCGTCTTATGTAGCGAAAAATACAGTACTTAAAAGCTTAGTTTTTCTTGTGTACCTCCCATGACCGTACTCCATATTTACTGAAGGGATTTATCACAAGTGGAGCAGCTGTGCATGGCAACCAATTTTTCATATTTAAAGCTTAACGGAACAAGTTGAAGATGGACCCTGATTGGTTGCCAGGCACAACTACTACAGATTTGTCTGCTCCAGTTTTGATTAATTCCCCCTCCCCCCCCCCCCCCGTATGTAAAATATGAGCTGCTCCATTCTCTTGCTAAGTTCATATTTTACTATTTGCAGCATACTGATATTGGCCATCAATGGCAATGTACTTGCAGAATCCAGTTAGGAAATTGATCCAAAAACAGTTGCATTCATATTACAGCTGTCTGATTGATACAGTTTCCTTTACATTTACCAAAGCCGTGTTATATAAGGACCTACCTAAACATTCCATTTAATTTTTACTGAATCAAGCAGGACTTTACAATCTGATTGTACAAACGTTAGATCTATGTAGTGTAATGTGTGTTGTGACTTTTTCATACGGTGCTTTTGTGTGTTGTGAATTTAAGGGATTTTTTTTAGCACATCCCTGTCAGTGCAGATGAGGATGAAGGGCACAGTTTCCTGCTGGTGGGCAGCAGGACAGAAATGGTATAAACCTGAATCCTTAACTTGCTCCTCAGTATTTTAGGCCTTTCCCTGACAGAAGATAAAATACAGGTTTGTTCAAATGCATTTTTATTAAATAAAATAAATACCAAGTCAAAAAGCTTTTTTACTATAAATATAAAACTGTTAAGCCACTCAAAATAAATCCAATAAATCTTTGTAAATCATCAGTAAAACAGGCTAATACGAGGATCATTGAACCTTGGAAGTGAATGAGAAACTTCCATTGACATTCTGCTTACATTAACATGCATTAATACAGCTCATTGCTTTTGAAAGGACTGCTAGAGCTCAATGCACACAAAAACAGACCGGACCTTTTCTTCATTTTTTTTTTTTTTTTTTTTCTTTCTTTCTATGTTTTTTAATTCATTACACAGCATGTGCGATATGTTTCCTACTTCTATAATAGTGGGATGCCACTGAACATTAGTGACTCACATATTACCGTGAGTTGTGATCATGTGTGTTTTTACTACATGTTACCACAACACAAAGATGTGAATGGGCCCTGAGTGGCGGATATGAACACAAAATCAGATGACATTCTTAGAGAGTTCACATTAGAACAAAACGCTCATCTGTTTTTATTTTGACCCTTCAAGACGGGGTATCAAAACCTCGTTGGCCAATGACACTGGTTGTTTAATCCTCAGTGTAATACATGAATGGAGGCCATGGTACCCCACTAATTGCAACAGTATGGCCTCAAATCTCAGCAATAACCAAGTCCACTTTTCAGTGGCATGTTTCAACCAAAAATCAGTAATTTTACAAAAAGATCATGCGGCGACTCCTTTGTAATATTGAAAAAAATGATTGGGCTCTATGAGATTTAGCTGAGAATAAAATAAAGCCATTTAAGGTTTGTTTGTGATAGGATAAAAGAATGAATACCTGCCCAGTCGTTAAGTACATTTATTAAATGTTTTGAAAAAAATGTTCCTGGATAACAAAAACCTAATATGCTATAAATAAAATTAATTAGTAATTTTGATGTATTTTGGTTGCAGCCAATGAGGTGTACAGATGTCATTTTCCAACTCGAAATTGATTTGCTGCCAAAAACTGCCAAAAATCTTCTATAGTGGACTGCAGATGAAGGTTTCAGGTTATGACCATGAAGACCTCCTGTGCATGCCTCCTTGGCTATCCCAGGACTGCTTCGTAGGATGCACATAAATATTGGAAAGGGTGCATTGGACGACTTCCTTTACAACACTAGGAAAACTATAGCCTTTGTCATCTTCTATTTTCTTTTGTACATGCTTCCCAGCACATCACCATTCACACTTTTCTCTTTTGATATAACAAAACTTTTGCATGAAAATTAACATCAAGTAGAAATCCGATTCTTTTCTTATGTGGCTGGATTACATCTGTGAGCTGCAGTTTAGTGTGAAAGGCAAACCCCCCCCCCCCCAAAAACCTCCATAGGCCCATGCATATGAACACCATGCAGATAGAACAGTTTAAATCTAACCTTAGGCTGCATTCTTACCACTCACAATTTAGCATTTGCTGAATTTTGTGAAATGCTGACATTCGTTTTTTAAACTCATTGCATTGATGTAAATTGTTTAAATGTGTTCCATTGGTGTGCATATTTTCTTTTTCACAGCAGGAGCCAAAATAAGTTGTAGATCGTTTTCCTTTCCTTAATGTGCATGGCAGTGTACTGCTACATATTCTAATACTGGGTGTAAAAGCAACACGTTCCATTTCTCCTAGCACACACCAACACTGTGCATTGGTATCATCTAGGACTATTGGAAACAATAGGCCCTAAATCTTAAGGCTGTGCTGGAGAAAAAAAAAACTAAAAGAAGGCTTAAAATGTAAATGCAGCTCAAGAAAAAATGAAGGTTGGCATTGCTGACCTATCTGAAAATGCTAGTTGCCTGGCTTTCATGCAGTACTTTGAGTCTCTGAGGCTAGGTTTAGATGTGCATCTCAATTGCTGTGCCTCTGAAATGTGGTCCACATTTTGGATCACTTTTCAAAGGCAATGCCTGTTTTAACCTTGTAAATGCCGCTGCACCAATGCACTGCAACCACATGCAACATGGGGTGTTTATGGTGTGTCGCTATTCTCTTGAATGGATCACGTAGGCAGTGGTATTCTCCACAAAACACAACCATTTTGTTGCTGCAAATGTGAAGCAAAGCATTGTGACCGCAGAATATGAGCACCCCTGGGGGGGGGGGGTTAGGAACCACTTATTTTTAATGCCCCCAAGCCCCCCAGCCCCAAGTCTAAATCCGTGTTTACAAAAGACGGTCATTGTGTTTACCCAGAACAAGTACTTATTACTTTATCATGATTCTCCTGAACTACATACTTTTAGGTATGTCATATTTGTAAACCAAGTTTCACCTTGGATTTCTTTTCTTTAAACGTTTGTAAAAAAAAAAATCCTTTTTAGTATAAAGATCCACCTAGATCCATCCAGGGTTACTGTACTGAGGTCTGCTAACCACTGTAGGGTGTGTTAGAGCTGTCACTGCACCCCTCGTCCATAGCAAAGAGGGATAATCTGTAAATGTGGAATGTGCCCTTCAGTTCTCTGGAAATATTGGACAAAAAAAAAAAATGTATGTTATACACCACTACTGATGCAGTGGAAAAATGGATGTACGTACACTGGCTATGTTCATAGTTCTTAAAGTGTTACTTAACCCACAACAGTAAAATCAGTCTGTATATGCAGTAAAGCGTTATATTGTTATATTTACCTTGGAAACTAAGGGGTTAATCCTCCAGTGTGTAAAAAAGCTGTTTGATCCTATCTTCTGATCCTCCCATTCTTCTACTGTCCCCAATCCATCTCCTGATAGTACAGAGCTCTAGGAGACACTCTAGCAATACACACTAAAACTGAGCATGTACAGAGAGGTTTTTTTTTTTCCTTTGGGAGAGTGCATGTGATCAGCACTGTCCAGAGGGTCAGGGTTCATGCAGCTTCATAGGACAGTCAGAGCAGAATGAAACTCCACCTACAAGCTTTAACCAGTGCTCTGCTGGGCAGTGATAGAAGTCACAAGACTGCTATATACTGCTAATGAGAAAAAGTATATAGCAGTTTATATTTGCTAAAATATTTGTATTTCCATGTTCTATATACTGTGGGAGACCTGATATAGTGAATGCAGGGTCCTGGGTTTAGTAACACTTTACATTCTTATCCACCACAGAAAATTTGTCATTTCTGTATTGTTTGTTTCCACAATTTCATGATCAAAGAGTAGCATAGAGCAAAATAACAGAACTGAAGGTTCCTGGTGTCCAATCTGCAACTCTTTGGCACTCTTTATGTAGCCCTTGGTGCATTGGAAGACCTTCGTCTGTTTTCTCCACCTTACCTAGGTGCTTACTCAAGCCAGTGATGGAAAACTATTCTTTAGACTAACTTCTAGGAGTTATAAAGGGTAAGGTAACTTTTTAGAATGTTACATGTTCCATCCATATTTAGCATGTAACATGTTCCAGCTCCTGCTGCCAGTCCCCCCCCCCCTCCCTGTGACAGCGGGCGGAGGATCTTCTCCCTGCACCCGCTGTCACTTTTTGAAAAGAGCTCTGCCCACACAGCTGCATCATTCACAGTTTCCTATAAATGTATGAACTACAACTACCATAAGCCACCATGGCTGACAGCTTGTAGTTGAAGAGTGCTCATCAGCGACCCCACAGTTCATTCACAAAGTTCATTCACAAGCCCTGCAGTCTCTAAACAGTCAGCCTGTATGGGCTAAAAGCTGCAGGATTTGTCTGCAGGAGGCTGATATTGCACCCCTGATCACAGCTGTAATGCTTTCCAGGCACCTGAAGAAAATAATAATAAATGCACTTTTTTTTTTGTGCAACAATGTGTGCATTTATTGTTTTTTCTATAAATGTAAACTTATCCCCTTAATGGTTTCATTTATTATTTTCATACTTTTTCCTATGCTGTCCATTTTTTCTCTGAATATTTATAATGGATCTTGCTGTGACAAACCCCAAATGTGTGGCACTAGTCATTTTATAAATGGGTTGTAGGGAGGGACAGTCTTGTGCAATGTGTCTGCAGTCAACGAATCCCTCCTGAAGAATTCCCCCAGTCTCCAACAACTCCTATAGCATGTTTGCAGTCTCTGACCCTCTCTTGTAGCAGGCCCTAAGTCTTTCACCATCATCTATTACATATCTGCAATCTCTGACTGTTTTCTCTGATTACATTCAGTAAATATTATGCTTGGCTGTTTGGGAATGTCAGGGCCGCACTTGAGGCCCTTATTCTAAGAGGACTGATGACCACTGCTTTAATGACTGGACTTTGAACACTTTCCATGATTTTCACTAAGTATATCCTCTCACTCCTGATGAAGGAGCCTTGTACCAAAAACTGGTACAAGTGGTGGCAAGTGTGTCCAGGGATGTGCAACTCATATCGCCCGACATGAACATGCAATTCTGGGTCCCGGATAGGTGTTTTTTTAGGGCGCAAACTGACCAGGGCCAGCAGGCGGCCCCATGAGAGACTCCATACATATATATTTCAGTGTAATATACCAGTCAGTGCAGCTAGGGCTTAAGGAGAGGAAGCGAGATCAGGAGACCAATGCGGGGTGATGATCCCTCCACTCTCTGCCTCCCCCTCCTGGCTGATCAGTGTAATCTCACTATACTCACCAAGCTCTCCTCTCCCTGCTCTTCCTGGTGGCCTGCCTCCCCAACCCAGCTCCCAAGTAGGTAATTGCCCCCAGATGTTCTTGGCTGCTCCCCCAGTCTCGCCTGGGCCTGGCTCTTGAGTATGGTGATTGCCCCCAGGTGTTCCTGACTCCTCCCAGTTGGTAGAGTGCTGTCCTCCCAGCAGCTCATCTGACCTGGTGTCCCCAACCCCATGTCCTCCTCTCCAGGGAAGGATGCTGGAGATGTGAGGACCAATCAGGATCTGCCCTTCCTTTCCTGGAGCTGGATTGTCCTCCCCAGGGTGCAGCACTGTGGATGGGGAAGGACCAGGAGCTGCTCCAGGCTGTCAAGGCTGAGGATCTGGGCAGGAGCTGCTGCACAGACCCAAGGCGGGCAAAGTCAGTAAGCGCACCCACCAATCTACCCACTTTGTCCTTGGGGGTGTGAAGGGGGTTAGAGGACATGGCTGTGGGGGTGTGTGAAGGGGGATAGAGGACATGGCTGTAGAGGGGAGGGTGTGTGAAGGGAGATAGAGGACATGGCTGTGGAGGGGAGGGGGTGTGAAGGGGGGCAGAGCGCATGGCTGTGGGGGTGTTTTGAAGGGTGTAGAGGACATGGCTGTGGAGGGGAGGGGGTGTGAAGGGGGGTAGAGGACATGGGACTGTAGGGGAGAGAGGGGTATAAAGGGTTTTTTTTTTTTTTCTTGCGTGCCTCCAATTTTTTTCATTGTAAGGATGTTGGGTGGGAGGGGGACCAACAGGGAGAGGCACAAAGTGAATTTCAGCCGGTTAATCAGGAACTATTCATAATTTGCACAGTGTATGGCCAGCTTTAAAGTACATTATCAGATCAGTTTCACAGCTGCTATACAGGGATTATTAGAAAGCTGCAACAAGTGAAAGGCATCAGTAAATACCTTACAGCAACCTCTATACACAGGAACTATTTGATAGGATAGCAAGAGGAACCATACTGGTCACTTTAAAGGAAACCTGTGCTTGAAGAAATGTGAAGGCTGCCATTGCTGCATTTTCCTTCTGAAGATGCTAGCTGCTTGGTTGTCCTGCTGACCTATTGATTTCCACACTCTCATAGCCCTGACCAGATGTGTACATACTGCGAATTCAGATTTAACTTTTGCTGCATACTTGTCCAGGGTCTGTTAATCAGAAAGGATTGAATCAGCACTGCAGCCAGGCAAGTTACATCTATGGCAATGTCAATATTTCTCAGTGTAATTGTGAGCTAGGAAAGTACTATGCTTCTATCCAGTCCACATTTAGTACAAGTCTTCTTGGTGTCCTCTTTATAGGAATACTTTCACTAGGTAACCTGTCAGTGAACATGTCTGCGCTGCGATCTGCCTGTAGAGTTAGCCCTGGACATCCTTGTTGCACTAGCGAGAGCCCTTTCTTTGTGATATTTCTGCAGAAGTTTACATGAAGAGTATGAAGTCTTCTGCAGCGCAAGGGAACCATGGCCAGCAGTCTATCAGTTACCCCAGAGCAGTTCTCCAGCTGTAGACTTTGAAGATCTGGGCAATGTCTCATGATCTGGATGAGAGGCTCATCTGTCACGTGGGCACAGCCTGAGAGTGTCAGCATCCGAAGATTTGGGCACCTAGAACACAAACATTCAGTAGTTTTAACAGATGTAAAAACACCATTTTCCCAGTTATGGATTCATTATTTAAAAGCTGTAATTTTAACAAAGTCTTCATAAGTGTCTGTCTTGATATGACCCTCCTGTAAGTCTTGCACAGTGCTTTCAGAGTAGCACTAAGTAGGAGGGGAGAGCAGAGAGATGACCAATGGGCTGAGTTTCCTCCAGTCATACACATTTAGAGTGGAGTGGAAAAATTCCAGGAATTCCCCCCCCCCCCCCCCCATGCAGTGGGGCTGTGTCCACACTGCATGGGTTAACTGCTCATTTTTGTCTAGGGATAAAGAGAGTGGAGATATACTTACCTAATCCATTAATCCTCCAAGCACAAGACCAGTCCCTGCCACTCTTGTTCCCCCCCCCCCCCCCTAACACTAGCAGTCTTGTGAATGGACTGTTCCTGATGTCATCATGCCCATAGACCAGCTCTGGTTGTGAAGACGGAAGGAACAGTCCACCTCTGGATGTAGGGGAGCGCTGTTTTCAAGACGATCAAAGGATTAAGCAAGTATAGCCTTTCAGTGCACCCCTGGACAAAACAAGCAGGTAACCCATGCAGCCCCAATGCATAGGAGGATTTTTTTTTTCTCATGAAGATCTGCTTTTAAGAAGAATTTTTTTTCTTTTTTTTCAGGGAGTAGTTATCTTTTTTTTGACAGGTACCCACTCCCACTGCCTCAATCATCTCCTAGATGAGGATGATGTCAGTTTGGCTTTTCTTTCCCCCACCCACAGCCTCCTGGGACATGTCACATGTCCCAGAAGGCTGCAGGACCAGTCTCATTGTGCTCCTCAATCTCCCACCTGCGCAATGCAGAGCCGACTATGATACATCAGGAAGTCACAGCCTGCTCCCACATTCAAGATAGCGGTGCCGGGGTTCTGTCTAGAAAAGAATCATCTCAAGGGAAGACAGCTCTGAATTCCATGGACTGGTAAGTACCTGTCTGTTAAAAGTCAGATGTTAGAGTATTTGTAGACACAAATGCTCCTGCGCTTGGGGATGGACTCGATGCAGGCTACAACCACATAAGGAATGTCCTGGAACATGCACACCTTGCTGCCCTCAAATGGACCGGAGAAATCCAAATATACTGAACGAGGAAAGAAAAAACAGAGGGCGCACAGGCCTAGTGCATTACCATAAAAAATGTTTAATAAAAAATAAAGTATGTGTTGTACTCACAAATGACAATATAATCAAGGCACATCATAAAGAACAGCTGGGTCAACACCGCGCTGAGTAACAGTCCGTAATAGGGAGTGTAGACATCCAAAAGGCTGACGCGTTTCGAAGGACTTGCCTCTTCCTCAGTTATAGTATTTGTAGCTGCTGACTGATAATTTTTAGGAACTCTGGGTAAGTTCCTCTTTAACCAAGCCATCCTGTTGGACAACGGTGCTCAGATAACAAGACTTGCTGTAAGATATTACAAATTTTCAGCAGGTCTATTTAGCCACTTGTCTAGAGTTCAGCTTTATGGGGAATCTTTGACAAAGCGTAAGATTCTCCATGAAGCCCTGGACTTTGTCTAAGTCCTGGGTTGCAAGTTAGTTCCAGAACAGTGACTTTACTCCCCACTCCAGAGAATCTAAATAGGAACCAGCATGTACTATAGTCAAGAAATTACTGCCTCCATCAAAGGTTTCTGAGAATTCTCTTTAATCAGTACAGCTGGACAGATTTTGTGGTCATACTAAGTAGTATATTTATTATAAAAAAAAAAATCTCTCTGTGAATGACTCATCCACACAGAATAAACAGAAACATTTGCTGTTTGAGACATCACTGTATGTGTAATATGTACAGGAAAAAAGATCCACACAACCGCCACTGCGCTAAAATCTTCCTATTTATTGAAATTACCACAAAAATACAATAGGTTGAAAAAAAGTCATAAATGCATGCCACAATATGGGTTATGACTAAGGCTTTTTTCAACCTATTGTATTTTTTGTGTAATTTTTTTGTGGTCGTTTCAATAAAGAGGAAGATGTTAGCGCAGTGGCGGTTGTGAAAATCTCTTTTCCTATTCGTGTCTCACAGTAATAGCAGCTGTGGATTGTGCACCTGCCCAGTAACTGAGATGGACTCCTAATTGGGTTGTAAGCACCTTTTTGGGTTTTTTTCTTATGTGTAATGTGTATTTTTTTTTATAATTGTTAGCTCCATCTAGTGACCATAATGCAGTATTTTCCAGATTGCAGTATTAAAAAAAAAAACAAAAAAACTTCATAATGGCTACTAGATGAAGCTGACAACCATAGGAAATACACTGCTCAAAAACTAAAGGAACACTTTTAAATCGGAGTATAGCATCAAGTCAATTAAACTCCTGGGATATTGATCTGGTCAGTTAAGTAGCAGAGGGGGTTGTTAATCAGTTTCAGCTGCTTTGGTGTTAATGAAATTAACAACAAGCGCACTAGATGGGCAACAAAGAGACAACCCCCAAAACAGGAATGGTTTTACAGGTGGAGACCACTGACATTTTTTCCCTACTATCTTTTCTGCTTTTCACTAGTTTTGCATTTGGCTAGGGTCAGTGTCACTACTGGTAGCATGAGCATAAGGTGATACCTGTACCCTACAGGCATTCCAACTCCTCCAGGATGTCACATCAATACATGCAATTGCTGTGTCTCCCAGCACTGTCTCAAGAGCATGGAGGAGATTCCAGGAGACAGGCAGTTACTCTAGGAGAGCTGGACAGGGCTGTAGAAGGTCATTAACCCATCAGCAGGGCCGGTATCTGCTCCTTTGTGCAAGGAGGAACAGGATGAGCACTGCCAGAGCCCTACAAAGTGACCTCCAGCAGGCCACTGCTGTGAATGTCTCTGACACAAAGTCCTCTAATGGGCCCTGTGCTCACTGCCCGGCCCCATAGAACTTATTGGCATTTGCCATTGAACACCAGAATTGGCAGGTCCACCACTGGCACCCTGTGCTTTTCACAGATGAGAACAGGTTCACCCTGAGCACATGTGACAGACATGAAAGGGTGTGGGGAATGTTATGCTGCTTGTAACATCGTTCAGCATGACTGTTTTGGTGGTGGGTCAGTGATGGTCTGGGGAGGCATTTCCATGCAGGGACACAAAGACCTCTACAGGCTAGACAATGGCACCCTGACTGTCATTAGGTATTGGGGTGAAATCATTGGACCCATTGTCAGACCCTACGCTGGTGCAGTGAGTCCTGGGTTCCTCCTGGTGCACGACGATGCCCAGGCCTCATGTAAAGAGAGTATGCAGGCAGTTCCTGGAGGATGAAGGAATTGATACAATTGAAAGGCCCCCACGCTTGCCTGAAATCCAATAGAACACCTCTGGGATATGAAGTTTCGGTCCATCCGACACTGCCAGGTTGCACCTCAGACTGTCCAGGAGCTCAGTGATGCCCTGGTCCAGATCTGGGAGGAAATACCCCATGACACCATCCATCATCTCATTAGGAGCATGCCCGATGTTGTCAGACATGCATACAAACAAGTGGGGACCAAACTACTGAGTACAATTCTGATTTGCTGCAATGAAATTTCAGCAAAATGGACTAGCTTGCTGCATCATTTTTTTCACTTTGATTTTCGGGGTGTCTTTGACTTCAGTCCTCTGTAGGTTGATAATTTTTCCCCATTGAGTTCTGATGTAATTTCAAAGTTGTCCTTTAATTTTTTTTGAGCAGTGTACATATATTAGACATTGCATAGGCATTATTCACACAAATGTTTTTTTTTTTTTAAATACATCCTTTTGGCTGAAAAATAAAAAAAATTGCTTGGTGCAATGGTACGGCATGACATTACACACAATGAAGCTCAAGAATAGCAATAGAAGCCTGACCACGACCGTGATCTTTCACAATTGTATCCAAAACGTTTAAAAAAAAATTGTTGGGAGCTTAACCTAAATCCTACAGTTCACCTAAAACAAAAAAAAAAAAAATCAACACAGGACATAATTTACTATTAAGCTGTCCCTTGTGCTGTTGACGCCAACATTCCTCAAAATCCTCCTCCTCTGATGCCTGACCACCCCCACTGCCACAATCTTTTGGTGTGGCGGGAGTTAATAGAACTAAGGGACTGTGACAAGCAATACAACTTCTATGAATGAAACACCATCAATGAATGGAGGATGGGTGGTCTTTATCCCTAGATTCATAGATTGTGCTTCATTCATAGAAGGTGCTGTGCGGCTTCTGGGGTTGGGGGAGAATCAGAGGAGAAACATTCCAATGAGCACAAGGGACACATCTCACTGAAGGCAAGGTAATGTCCCTTGTTCTGTTTTTTTTTTTTTTTTTTCATTTTAGGAAAACTTAGGTTTTAAAGTATATCAGTAGGGTAGGAAATGGTTAACTCCCTTACAACCACTCGACAAATATGTGTGAATGCAAAAGGGTGGCTTTAAAACCTGCACACCCCATATACTGTATGTGCCTCTGGGCAGTCGTTATTTATGTGCGGAGAATGCTCAGAGCACACTTCCAGCACATCGACCAAACTGTCGTGGACAGGGGTCACATGATCACCAATCCTTCCCACCACGCAGGTGTTCCAAGCTATTTAAAAGGGACGCTGGGACAAGCAGGAAGGGGTTAAACCCATCAGGCTTTTTTTTTTTTTTTCCCCCATCCAAATCCCATGTCACCTTCTGTCCTATAGACCAGTGTTTTTCAACCTTTTTTCAGTCAAGGCACCCTTTAATATTATGGACAGCCTCAAGGCATCCTTTTAGATTATGGACAGTCTTGAGGCATCCTCTTCTAAAATGTGAAAACTATTCAAATAGCTTTATATAACACAGCAACATCCCCACACGTAGGACACCCAACATTAGACGTGTACTGATTAGTATTCCATTGTTTCTCTTCTCCCTCAGTTTTTCTCCATCACTGAGCTAATGTGACCTCAGCACTGATGGAAAGGGACAGGGGAGGGTCAAACCAGGATGCT